ATCAGCCATTTTTGAAGCTGAACCCCGGCACCATCCCCTGGGGCCCCCGGGAAACCAGGTGACTTTGCATGCATTGCGATTGCAGCGACAAGAGGATAACCAAGTGTTGATCCAGGTCAGGGACTGGAAAAGCCCCAAAATTCGATGCAGAAAAGGGGGGTTAACTAAGGTTAACTCACTGAATTTGAGAATTTCTTGGACTGGACTTGTGATTTGTACAGGTATAGTTTTACTTTTAGGCATTTTTTGGGGGGTGCTGAAAAAAGAGGCGTTGGGTGATGAATGGCCGGCCTTTTCCAACTTGAAACTGCGGTGATAGTTGTCCACGTTTTGTTATTGTTTCGGTTCTTTGACTAGTTTCAAGGGCATACGGATACAGTATACTATACTGAGAAGAGTTGTCGATAGGCGCTTCGAGGAACTTGTACTCTTCAAACATTTTAGCAACATGATGACATGTCTTCTTCCAATCAATCATTTCCAATCGATCAAAATTTGTTATCCTTGAGCCCCCTCAACGGGCTATACTTGAGATGGCTCCAGATAATTCTTCCCATGAAATGCGCGCGAACCATTTGAGAAGGTCTTGTTGACCAACGGATCTGGAACTGCAGCCTGGTGGGTCATTATAGGAAATGATCACAAACCCATGAGCAACAAATGATGACATCAGAATCAAATCTTCAATAGGTTTGCCAGCGAATTGAACTATGGGTTAATCTGTCCATATTAGTTCGCTAATCTTTCCACATTTTTCCACATCTTTCCACATCTTTCTACATCTTTCCATTTTTTGACGTGCCATTTCTTTTCATTGTGGCATCCGTGGCAGCCAAGTTGGCCCCCGGAGGTGGGAAGATGGAGACCTCGCAATGGTGACTTGGCCATGCCATACCTTTGTTGATTGGTTGAGTTCGGGCGTGATACATTGTTAATGTGGCTAAATGTGGCTATATGTGGCTTATTTGCTGCTTATTTTATCTTATTTTTCTATGTAACTGTCTGAAGTCCCTAAACGTACATACAAATACGTGTTAACTCTATATATATATATATATCTAGATACACATACTTTCAACCTCCAATACACGTTATACATACTTTCTGTGGATACCCATTTGCCAAGCAATCTGATGGGATAGGATACTGCTATTTTTTATAGCTCAATATTTGCTTTTTTTTAGGGGGGTGGCAGGGTATCTTCAAGATTAGCCACGTATATGTGATTTCGGTTGGAAATAGTGAGGCGATGGTTCTCAGTTCTCAGCTGTGGGTTTCAGTGGGGTTTAGTCATGTGTCTTAGCAAGGCCCATGGAGCAAATCCAACGCATCTCCAAAATGATGCGCTCCCCAAGCACGAATTTGATTGTTTCAATCATTTTCAATCCACCAACCTACCTCCATCTACAAATTAGGTTGTTGCACCTGGTAATGCTTATGCCTCGCAATGTGCCACCTACTGGAGTAAAAATGTGAACGTACGGCAGGTGATGGCAGGTGTCTCCACGTATCCGAATGATCCAAATGTTTTACAGCAGCGTCCCCACTAAGGTTTCGTGCCCACTTGCGGTTTTCCTGGCAGTAAGAGGCCATCAGCCAAGGATTTTAGACACTCGGCAGAAGAAGGTCATTAAAATGCAGATTGGACATACCCCCTGGTAATCAAACATGGCAATGCAAAATCCGGCCGTTTATAATATTTATAGATTAGTTTCCCATGAAGACCTTCATTCACAGGGGATTTTTCAGCCAGCCATGATTGATTCCCGAGGGCATCTGTAGCAAGAACTTGTCATTTCTCTGAGAGTGTCCTTTCACCTAGACAGGAGGCAAAAAGGTGCCGATGGCTTTGCAGTTGGTCACAAGTTGCTCTTGATAAGGACAACTACGCGTGCCGCAGCATATATCTCCACTTCAGTTGAAGAAGTTTGGGTATAGACAACTTACATTTTTTGCCTCCGGAGTCTATAAAATCTATAAATGTGCGAGATGTATATAATTATTGTATCACAATTCTCGTAGCTCAATAATTAAATGACCCTAAAGAACCTACTCTCGTTATATCACCATATGGGCTTTGCTTCCTACCTCAAGCTCCCAGTTCTGGCCGTGGGGTCTGTGGGTAGGGTAGGGTCCGTACATTATTTACATTTCATACCCAGATCGTCCATGAATATGTGTTTTTGGCATTTTTTGGCACCAAAAACAGCGCAGACGTGCATAAACAAGGCATTCATGGATGGCACGGGATCTGCATTTCACTTTACTGCCTTGCAATGCGAGGCAACTACATCGACTTCTTAATCCGCGTCTTGGCATGATTTCGGCTAAGCAATGGATGGGACAAACAGGGCTAGCTAGTGAGTTGGTTCAGACAAGTTTTCGAAACACAATCCTAGGTGATTTCAGGTAGCTTGGAGCCACCAACCACCTAGTTTTTCTCCATGACATTTGACCCGAGTTCCAACGTCAAAAGGACTGTTCATATGCTGCCTGGGTCAGCAGATGCAAACCTCAAGAAAGGACCCTCCACACCGCCATCCCGCAGCCAATTCAATGCTTGAGCAGCTTGGCGCGCTGAAGCTTCCAGTCATGCGAGCAGCCACATATGTGGGGCCGGCACGTGGACTCACATTTTCTTCACAGCCAATGCAAAAACAACGACAACAAAATCCAGCCACAAGAAAGCACACCAAATTCATCCAAATTCCAGATCGTCCGAAACATTTGGAACACGCCATCAGAACACGCGCAGTTTGCTCCAGCCATGGCTAGCCATCCCACAGAGGTGGTGGTCCCTCCGATGCCGGAGGATGGCTTTGTGCCCTTCCGGCGACGTCGGAGCCGCCTGGAGTGCCCCGATTCCAGTTGGGCGCCAAAGTGGCGGAAAGTGCTGGTGCCGCCTCCGGACAGTGACCTGGTGGTGGGTGCCGGGGGCTTGGAGAAAGGTGACATGAAATGATGGGAAATCATGGGGCATGCGGTGACATTATCAATATTTGTCTATCTAAATCTAATCTAATGTAATTAATCTATATAATCTAAATCTAATCTAATCTAATCTACATCTAATCTAAATCTAATCTTATCTTATCGTATCTTATCTTATCTATCTACCTAATCTATCTATCTATCAATCAATCAATCAATGAATCAATCTAATCTATCAATCTAATCTATCAATCAATGAATCAATCTAATCTATCAATCTAATCTATCTATCTGTCAATCTATTAATTAATCAATTAATCAATTGGTTAATTAATCTATCTATCTATCAAACAAATCAATCAAATCAATCTATCTATCTATCTATCTATCTATCTCTATATCTATATCTATCTATCTATCTATCTCTATCTATCTATCTCTATCTATCTATCTATCTATCTATCTAATTATCCATCGATCGATCGATCGATCTAAATCTACGTTTCAATCTATCTATCTGTCTATCTACAGTATGCGTGTGTATTTTTATTATGTGTTTGGTTAGTGGGAAGAGCATTTAAAAGTCACAGGGGTATCCAAAATGAGGGAGTTTCGATTGCCAGGCTAGATTGCCCCAGAGGGTACGGTATGTAAGTTTGGAAGATGTCGGAAGCATTCTTTAGGCTTAGACGATTGAACAAAGGATTCCTAAGCATGTAAATAACATTATAATTATTACTGGTGATCTATCAACCAAATCACCTGACATGGTGGTTGGCGGCCCCTACATGGTGGTTGACGGCTGCAACTCTTATAGGAAGTTTAAAAAAAAGCATTGCTTGGTTTGAGCGTAGTATATATACCACTCAAGAGATGCCGAAAAGTCAAAGCTGAATCCTAGTAAGATCAAGGTGGTGTGGTGGTGACTTTACCCATTTTTGCATCTTTTTGGGGTGTTTCTATAATGTTTCTATATGTTTCTATATGTTTCCATATGTTTCCATATGTTTCCATATGTTTCCATATGTTTCTATATGTTTCTATATGTTTCTATATGTTTATATGTTGCTATGTTTCTATATGTTTCTATATGTTTCCATATGTTTCCATATGTTTCTATATGTTTCTATATGTTTCTATATGTTTCCATATGTTTCTATAATGTTTCCATATGTTTCTATATGTTTCTATATGTTTCCATATGTTTCTATAATGTTTCTATATGTTTCTATAATGTTTCTATATGTTTCCATATGTTTCTATATGTTTCTATATGTTTCTATATGTTTCTATATGTTTCCATATGTTTCCACTATATGTTTCTATATGTTTCCATATGTTTCTATATGTTTCCATATGTTTCTATAATGTTTCTATATGTTTCTATATGTTTCCATATATATGTTTCTATATGTTTATGTTTCTATATGTTTCCATATGTTTCTATATGTTTCTATATGTTTCTATATGTTTCTATATGTTTCTATATGTTTCTATATGTTTCCATATGTTTCTATATGTTTCTATATGTTTCTATATGTTTCTATATGTTTCTATATGTTTCCATATGTTTCCATATGTTTCTATATGTTTCTATATGTTTCCATATGTTTCTATAATGTTTCTATATGTTTATGTTTCTATATGTTTCTATATGTTTCTATATATGTTATCTATATGTTTCTATATGTTTATATGTTTCTATATGTTTCTATATGTTTCTATATGTTTCTATATGTTTCTATATGTTTCTATATGTTTCATATGTTTCTATATGTTTCTATATGTTTCCATATGTTTCTAATGTTTCTATATGTTTCTATATGTTTGTGTTTCCATATGTTTCTATATGTTTCCATATGTTTCTATGTTTCTATATGTTTCTATATGTTTCTATATTTTCATATGTTTCTATATGTTTCTATATGTTTCCATATGTTTCCATATGTTTCTATATGTTTCTATATGTTTCTATATGTTTCTATATGTTTCTGTATGTTTCTATATGTTTCTATATGTTTCTATATGTTTCTATATGTTTCTATAATGTTTCTATATGTTTCTATATGTTTCCATGTGTTTCCATATGTTTCTATATGTTTCCATATGTTTCTAAATGTTTCCATGTTTCTATATGTTTCTATATTTTTCCATATGTTTCTATATGTATCTATATGTTTCTATATGTTTGGAAATGTTTATACATGTTTCTATATGTTTCCATATGTTATATGTTTCCGTATGTTTCTAAATGTTTCCATGTGTTTCTATATGTTTCTATATGTTTCCATATTTCTATATGTTTCTATATGTTGCCATATGTTTCTATATGTTTCCATATGTTTCTATATGTTTCTATATGTTTCTATATGTTTCTATATGTTTCCATATGTTTCCACATGTTTCTATATGTTTCCACATGTTTCTATATGTTTCCATATGTTTCTATATGTTTCTATATGTTTCCATATGTTTCCATATGTTTCCATATGTTTCTATATGTTTCTATATGTTTCTATATGTTTCTATATCTTTCTATATGTTTCCATATGTTTCCATATGTTTCTATATGTTTCTATATGTTTCGATGTGTTTCTATATGTTTCTATATGTTTCCATATGTTTCCATATGTTTCTATATGTTTCTATATGTTTCCATATGTTTCCATATGTTTCTATAATGTTTCTATATGTTTCTATAATGTTCCTATATGTTTCTATATGTTTCTACATGTTTCCATATGTTTCCATATTTCTATATGTTTCTATATGTTGCCATATGTTTCTATATGTTTCCATATGTTTCTATATGTTTCTATATGTTTCTATATGTTTCTATATGTTTCCATATGTTTCCACATTTTTCTATATGTTTCCACATGTTTCTATATGTTTCCATATGTTTCTATATGTTTCTATATGTTTCTATATGTTTCTATATGTTTCTATATGTTTCCATATGTTTCCACATTTTTCTATATGTTTCCACATGTTTCTATATGTTTCCATATGTTTCTATATGTTTCTATATGTTTCTATATGTTTCTATATGTTTCTATATGTTTCCATATGTTTCCACATTTTTCTATATGTTTCCACATGTTTCTATATGTTTCCACATGTTTCTATATGTTTCCATATGTTTCTATATGTTTCTATATGTTTCTCTCTATATGTTTCTATGGATCTGTTGTGTCCCTTAAACCCACAGAGGTGCAGTTCAATCCTAGGTGGCGAGCCACCCAACTTTGCCGAATTCGATCGGGTGGTGCGAGGCATGTTGAATCGGATCAGCACTGAGCCTCTCGGCGAACGGCCGCCAGGTTAGCTGAGGTTTCCATCTGATTCCATCCTGCCAAACCACAATATAAATTAATAAATATATGATAGTTGTGTATATATATATATATATGTATGTATATATTCATTTATTCACATGTGTAAAAGAAAAGGATTGATCCCAAAATGATCTAACATGTACTCAATCTGCAATTCTTGTTGAGTAAACATGGCGAAAATCATTTGATCACCAATGTACTTCGGATAGCGATCCCAAATTTTGTGCCGAGTTCGGAGGATTGCGGGGGTTGCCTCTGGTTGAACTCCCGCTTCAAACTTTACACACAACTTGGTGTCACAACCGGCCTTGAAATCAGAAAATGTTTTTTTTTTTTTTCCTGTACCCTCTGGTAAATTAACATAGGCCCTGGCAGATAGGGATTGGAAAATGAGTTTCCATTAAAACTAGGCTATTTTCAGGGTCTATGTTAATTTACCAGAGGGTAACTTATACTTCGAGCAGATCAATGGATGGTCAGAATGGTCAGAAACCCGCACAACAAGATGGACACATTGATTACAATGTCTCAAATTGAGGTGTCGCTTGGACATCAACAACATCCAATGATTAAACATTGGAAAACCAACCACCTTTTTGTAGCGGTGACCAACTGTACTATCTTTGTTGTACTCAGAACTGTGGCCCATAAAAGTGCTGACAAAACAGAATGGGGCGGTAAATGTTCCATGATGTTCCATGAAATACCCCCAAAAATTCAGCCATGTTTTAATCCCCCATTTTGTCCTGCTAATACCTCTATATTTCTCCCATATTTGGGGCTTACTTTTCCAGCGATTCAACAGCTCTTCGGCTGTTTTTTTAAATGTATATTTCATAGAGACAATAGCTAATATGATTTCAATGTAAGGGGCAAACATGGCTAAAACATGTTAAGACCAGCGCTCCAGGAATGCCCGGCTGATTTTGCCGCTGGAACCGCAGCTGCGTGGCGCGGAGACGGGCGATTGCGCGCCCTGGTGGGCGGCGCGCTGCGCCGTTGCTCGGAAAATAATGGTGAGCTACTGTACATGACATGTAGATATAGATATAGATGTAGTGGTTTTGGGCATATGTATACATATACAATATTAATCAATATTATATAATTAACCATTTTTTTCATCCCATACCATATCCAAGTGGGGATTTTCCATAAACGGGGGTATAGCATATTAGTTGCTAAGTGGGATGCAGCGCCAAGTAAGGATCAAAGATGGTGCTATCATGGGATAGAATGGGACACACGCACACACACACATATACATATACATATACATACACATATACATATACATTTACATGCTATATAAAATTATATATGACATATATATGATATATAATATAGACATAGATATATAACGATAAGAAAAATAACTAATGCTAATATAGTAGCAGCAATTGTGATAAGAATGATAATAATGATGATAATATACGCTGATTTTTAATCCTAACAATAGTCCAACATGGCTGGCTGGGAAATTCCAAATGGCAATTTAAATGACAAGATCACTTATACATGGTGGATTTTTCATTGCCATGTTTGATTGCCAGAGGGTGATGAGAAGCATGTGGAAACATTCTGATAATACATGATTATCTAATACTGTGGACAGGTTGGTTCAAGAATTCGGAGATATCATTTGGGAACATGGATATAATGGGATATAATTCCACATATTAGTTATTAACGCAACAAGATTATACTTAACTTTGGTTTGTTCACATTGGGAATGCCAAAACTTTCAGTTTGAAGGGCAAAAATGATAATCATCCATTCGATCTGGGGTGCCCTATTTTCTGGGAAAAAATGCCACAAGGACAATTTCAGCTTTCAGTTCAATTGTGCTTATCATATCAGAACCTGGGCCATGATTGATCTGTTGATCGTGAAATCCATTTTGTACTCGAGTGTCACTATCACAGGATGCCATACCGATCATAGCTTCTAATTACTAATCCCATCCCGCTATTGTTTGAATAACCCCCCATATTATAGTCCATATTGGCTCACAAAATGAAAAGATCGATACTGAACCAGTGTTTCCAAGGTAGTATTGAATATTATTAATAAGGCTTCCAGGGATCCCCCTATCCCTGGAGCTATGAAGAAACTCAAAGTGGATCACCTCGGGGGCGAAGTGGATATCGAACCATGGGGGTTTGGCGGTATAGGGGTTATATCATGTTATATCCCAACTTATGGGGGTTTATAGCCATGGCTCAGTTATGCCCATAAGAGCAATCTCAACTGCACCCCAAAGTAAACAACCCAATAACCCAACTTAAAACAAGTGGTAGGGTAGGGCATCCCTGGAATCTGGCCATGTTTGATCATTGTACAATCAGCCCTGGGAGACCCTGGGAATGATTCACAAGGCCTTGATGCTGAATCACTACATCCAAGTGATCCACACCAATCGTTGTGCACGTGGATTGGCCATGCGAAGCGCTGACAACGTCTTGCCCGAAGCTTGGGCCGGGATGGGACCTGGCGATTGGAGCGGGGGTATGATATGGGGATGAGCTGTGGATGATATTACCCTCTGGTAATTTAACATAACTATGGAAAACCACCATTATCAATGGGAAAATCCACTATAAATGGCCAGTTTCAATAGCTATGTTAAATTACCAGAGGGTATGATGAATTGCATTTGGGCATTTGGATCAGTACGGGACAGTTGCCATATATTTTATTTTATTTTCCGCACTGTCTGGCTTGAGGTATTCTTAGAAATGATCTAGGAACTGAATTTCCCCCATGCAAGTGCAAGAATGTGCAAGGACCGATGTGAAGCATTTAGGCTACTGCATACCACTGTTTTCATTGAACACCACCATGCCACCCCGATTTACCTCCATTTCAATCCGCTTCAGCCCCAATTCATTGGAAGTAAATCAGTAGTGATCATTCCCCAACACTGCTCCATCACGACCTGGCCAAGGAGTACTTGGATGCAGTGGCCCCGCTGTTGGCCCGAAGCCCTCGCTTGGTCCTCTCCTTGGTCGCTTGGATGGCACGGCTGCTGAAATGGTACGACCTTTGCTGGCCGACCACCCGCCTGGTGCTGCTGGCAGCCCGGGAACCACGGGAGAAGACGCAGCTCCCGGGCCATTCCTTGGGACGTTTGCCGGCGGAAGTCATCAAGGGTTCCTGGGACCTGCACCAAAACCGGATCACCTTTTTGTTTGGCCCTTCTTGGACCGAAGGGAGTGACGGTTCTCAGATGTCGGATCATATATTTATACAACATACGTTAATTAATATATATATATATAATGTTCTTAGGCATTTAGCAATATAGTCGCGGTTTTAAGGAGGTCTATCGTCATGGTTGATGGCAGCCAAGCGGCCATTTGCTGTCCCCTCTAGGTTGCTTCTCATCGGGTCTTTTTGTGCAGTTCTGCTTGTCAGGTCGGATTTTGACCTTTCTGCTGCCTCCATTGCTTCCAACATCTGCTTCCTCTCAAGACCTGGGTGTGCCAGCGGCTCTTTGCACATGCTGGAGTGATCCTGACGGTCAAAAAGATGCTTGGGCAGAGGTACGACTCAGAGGCTGTTAGTTTCCCGAGTAAAGTGGGTTTAGACAAGTTTGGACATGATGGAAATTATGGATGTTATGCATCCCAAATCTTGGGTCTCCAAAAAATCCAAGACAAATCCTCCCCAGAAATCTCAGGATGTGGTTGCAGTGCTGGCCCATCTCCTGCTCTTCACTCCTGCCGTGGCTTTTCCTCGCTTGTCGGCCTGTGCCCTGGCCATGGCAGAAGCCGCCTTGCGACAGCCCGGGGAGGAGAAGATCTACCTGGCAGCCGCAGTGGTGGTGTCGGTGTCCCAACGCTTGCAGAAGTACATGGTGGGCAACTCACCATTGCTGAAAGCTGAGGAGGAGCATTTGGCCCAGCTAGCCCTGCAACTGCAGCATGTCCAGCAGGATTTGGAGTGTGTCACGCACCTGGAACGTGACTTGTCACTGGCTGCAGCCAATGCCAGAGACCAAGGAAATTTGTCATTCTTTGTCTACTCACGGGTTTTGGCAGCTTCTGAACACGTGAATCGTGCCAAGGAGCAATACAAGCGCCTTTTTGTTCTTTCTACTTGAGAGCCGCAGCTCTTGCTGGCTGCAGGCTCTAGCACTTGCACAATCTTCGGCCAAAATGCCCGTTTTGCCGCTGTCCTCTCAGGCTCAACATGCTCATGGTAAAGATCTAGGGGCTCCAAGATCAAATGATGACTTCAAAACCGTAGGAAACCATCCTCATCCTCCCTTCCATGACTTGTTCAGGAATATGTGGGCTATATTCATGGATATTGATGGATATTTCTAATTTTCTAGTCATATATAGTTGCCACTTCCTTAGGGAATGCGTCAGGATCCCACATGACCAGCCGAGGAGAGCTTTCAGGTGTGCTTGGTGCACAGCCAGTGCGCAAGACAGGTGCGCTCAGCTCAACTCGGCAGATGGGGGAAATGGAGATATGGCATCAAACGTGGCCAAATACCCTCCGGTAAACTAACATAACTATGGAACATTGCCATTTTTTTGGTTGATTTACCTAGTAAAATGGTGATTTCCCATAGTTATGTGAACGTTTACTGGAGGGTATATACTGTAGCCGATTTCACATGATTCAACCATCAAAAGATGATGGTTGGGAGAGATTTTAACCAGCAAAAAGGTGATCTGGCCATACAAAATGGTGGCATGATGGGATATAATGGGGTTAATGACAGCATGTGTTTAATGATTATAATTATATAATGGATATTAATGGCTTAATCAACCGTGGCTAGCTGAGAAATCCCCGTTTTCTAAAAAGAGGTCCCTAAATGGGGAAATCTTCGAACTAAACCATACGAAATCATCCTCAACTGGGGTCCGAATAATCATACATATGTATATAGAACTTTCAACATACTGTATTACAGGTATATACACATGACATCATATGACATCATTTACTTGGTATACATAGATGTATGATGATGTATGCAGCATGCATATACAGTACATAATATTATGCAGATGTGTACATGTGTGAAAGAGCCGGGACTGCCTCGAACCAATCAATCACATGTTGATCCTGGTTGTTGTCATCAACTTTGGTTTCATTTGTCCCATACCTGCCATACCTTGTGCACCCAAATGACACAGGGGTTTTGATTTGGCTTGGACACGTGACGACTTTAACCATGTCAAGAGCAGGCTCATTTGGATACTGATAGCAATCAAGCCCTGCAGCTTAATCCACATGATTTCTGGATGATGCTTCCTTATTCTGTCTTAAACAACTATTTTTGTTTGTTAAACTACCATTGTTGTTGGTTAAACCACCATTCTTGTTGGTTCTATAAACCACCATTTTTGTTGGTTAAATCGTGAACATGTGAAAACTTGTTGCCACGGCTCAAGGCTTAATTCATATAGCGTCGCCGAGGGCCCCGCGTTCTTCCCCGGGTTCAATCGGATTATCTCCGACCTCCAGCGGGTGCCACAACGGCGCACATCAACTGATTATCTATGAGGACCATGAGATCATGAGCAGGCAAAAACCTACTAGCATCTATATCATATATCTATATATATATGGGGGGGGGCTGAGCATATATATATATGCATTATATTATATACATCTATATACATCTATATATTATATATTATTATATTGCATACATCTATATATTATATAGCAATCCCTAGGGGGCCCTCGGGACATCTCGGCACTTTGCACAGCCCAGCACTGCAACACGATCGATGTCGAGTGGTGATGGGATCAGCTGCCATGGCTACCGAGAAAGTCCCCAGATTTCTGTGAAGCTGAAGAACAACGATGGACACTTGGTCTGGACATGTTTGGACATGTTTCCCAAAATGGATGGAGAAAGTCCCAAAATGCTGATCAGACATGAACTTTGTATGAGATACATGGATTATACATGGTCATTACCTCCGTGCTGGCCAATTGGGCGTAGTTTTTTCTGTTAATTTCTTGGGGTTGTAATGGGTTATCATGTTATAATATTGACAGCACATGGGAACTAGCAAGTGTTGTGGGATGACCTATGTATTTGGTGCGCAGCTGATTATACTGATTGGTACATCCGCTAGTTGTAAAGTTACGCATTAGATCATTAGTGCACAATGAGTGTGCAGGTTGCACACCTTAGGACCCTAGACCTTAGCATCTATCTTCGACCACGACTCCCGTATTTCATTCTGAAAGATGATTCAATTCATATATCCTCCCTCGGATTTACATAGACCATGTTAGACCATGCCACCTGGGGGTTTGAAGACTACTTCCTGCTTAAAATGGGCCATTCTCCGGGAAAACATGGGGGCGAAAGGCTCGGGTGGATCCGGCTAAAGGTGATGCACCAGCTTCGCAAGCACCTCATTTTAAGGCTGCCCTCCCTTTGTTCCTGGGTTTGGTGTGGGGTGCGGGCTGCCGAGTTTTTGGGCGACGAACATGGCCTGCAAATGATGTGCCAAACTGTGCCAAAGAGGTTTTTACCGGGGGAGAAGATTTTTCGGAAGCTTCGCTTGCGGTGTGGAAAAGTCAACCTAATTTTTGGAAGGGTTTCATGGTGCATTTTTACCTGCAAGATTTTGAGAACATGATTTGCCCGGAGGGGGCTTGACCGCTTGGCACCGATTCACCAGTCCAGTCTGACGAGGAACTCATTCAATATCATGTAGTTGGCACTTTCAACATCTTTCAACTAGTATTATTATTATTATTATTATTCATGTTCACCCCTAGAAAATAGACATGGAATGATGATTGATGATCCCAGCTGAGATCTTGAATTGGTGTTGTGACACCTCTTGTATCTTCTTCCTGTCGAAACCTGTCGAGATCATCCAGGTTCGACTACCAGCTTCGGAGTTTGGGATGGATGATTTCCCGCGAGACGCACCAGCCAACGGACGCCCGGCATCGGTGTTTTCAAGTGACTGTTCTAAGTCTATAGCAGCGACTGCAGTTAAATTATGTCAAATTATCGGTTATTTATATTTATTTATCACATCAGATCCTTTACAAACTGTTGGGGCGATTCATGATGTTTGACCATGTTTGACCATTGTGGCCAAAACCAGCATGTGCAGATAGTGGAGTTAGCCGTTAGCCCATTTGAATGCGGTGGCAAACCCAAGGCCATAAGCAACTACTGTAGCATTTGGGCTATGATCTGACAACCAACGCATTTATTCATCTTTATGTGTGATTTATGTTAATGTTCGATGCACAAACGAAGGTCATGCAGAGTAATCAACATGTTTACAACCTATAGGCTGCTTCACATTGCTGCAATTGCAGCGGAGAAACATAGAGACACTCAAAGAGTAAATGCATGCATTTTTGAAAGCCTCAGGTGGAAACTCAAAATGTTTGGTCAAGATCCTTGGTCGTTTTTTTGAAGCTCAAAGATGTTTTTTTCTTGAGGCACTGAGGATGCTAATAAGACTCTATGGCCTGGAATAGTTTTTAGTGGCCAGCGTTTGGGTATGCTTGTGCCTGAAGCCTTCCGACGAAAAGATGCTGTCACCTCTCGGTTTCACGGCTGTTGCCTCTTGCTGCTGGGGTCGTGTGGGCAGCTACGCAATTTGAAGCTGCGGCAAATTATAGGTCAACCCAAGCTTTTCTCTTTAAACTCACCTCTTCCAAGTCAGATTCTTAGTTAGTTTAACCATTCTGATCTCGGTCCCTGCTTGATAAGCAACTCTTCTGCTGTCAGGACATCTTCGGAGTTCGTGGAGGGATTTTAGCCGACGGCATCGGATATGGCAAGACCACCATCACCCTGGCGTTGATGGACCACCGCAGATGTCATGACCTTCCCTCCACCAATGCAGCAGCTAAGCAGCTACTGCCTTCACGCGCCACACTCATCATGATGCCACCCAATCTTTGGCAACAATGGCAGGAGGGTGCCATCTGAGTTTCTGATAGTTTCTGTTGAAAAGCTGAGTTCCTGAAGCGATATGGGCCATGGGATGAAATTTAATGATGGAATGTTTTTTTTTTTTTTTAAATGGTGTTTGTATGTGTTTCTGGTGTGTGACCCGTCAACCTTCATACCCTGACAGGATGAAATCAACAAGTTCTTGCCTTCCGGCTCCTTTCGAGTAATTGCAGCAGCTGACGGCGGTCAGCTGCGGCGCTTTTCACTGGAGGCTTTGCAAATGGCGGATGTTGTCATCGTGCCCTATCCCATTTTTCGTGGGAGATCATACGCAAATTTGAAACTGGACAAAGTCAGTGTCATGTTTTTTTTTCCCTTTAATTGAGAGAGAATCGGTCGTTGATGCTTTGGTGCCCAGTGGCACCCCTTGTCTTGGAATCCAGGAATCCCTGCAAGTATGAAGGGGGGATTTGATCAGAGCGGGCAATAATGCGAACGATTTCAAACGTTCGTCATTTGATGATTCAGGGATTCCTGAAAAAAATATTGTATATAAACATATAATATACATTACATGTTCTTGGAGGACTTCATTTTTTCATACCAGTCTCATCATGTATCATCATTCTTCAGTTTATGTCAATATATATGTATATGTCATTATATATTCATCTTGTTTCCTCATGACTACATGTCAATCATGTCATTGTGTCCAGAGAGTTTTCACCACGATTTTGCCCCAGGAAATGGCGCTTAAAGCACTTCTATTGGCACCGCATCATCGCGGACGAGTTTCACGAGTTGATTGGTGCGGCAGTAGATGGTCACCATCCCTTCAACGAGGCCAAACATCAGTTGACCCAACTGGAGGCAGAAAGCCGATGGGGGTTGAACCTTGGAACCTACATCATACATCAATATACATCACTTTGGAGCTGAGAGTGTGCTATGTTTCAAGATGTGTTTTGTGGTGCTGGAGGAATGCCAGGGCATGCAATGTCCAGGATCTTTCAAATCACCTTTCTGTACCCCCTGATTTATTCACATGTTTGCCCTTGCTGTTGGGGTCCCTTTGTGTCAAGGACTAGCACCCCACCATTTCAAACTGTCGCGGAGATCGCCGTGACCGCCACGTTTTTTCACCGCAAGATCGAGCGGACCAAAGATGCATGCGTTCGATTCATCACGGAGATGGTCCGGCAGAACAAGAACGTCGCGAAGCAGTTGAGTTAAGTCGGGTCAGGGTAAAGACGACGAGAAAGTCATGGATTTTTTTCGCCATCAACAAAGTAGGGATGATGATGATGATGATGATGATGGTGATGGTGATGGTGATGATGATGATGATGATGATGGAACTCGTTTGTGGAACTTGGATGAACTTGGGGTCTCATCTATCTCCAGCAAAGAAAAACTTTCACGCTCGACACCTACTGTCTGTGATTCACCTTGATCAAACAGCAGTTCGAAACATCCATGGGCTTCCAGCTTTGCGCTATCTTTAAAAATCCTTAAAACTAAGGCTGTAGTGCTTCCAGATGTGGTGCAGCACAAGATTGAGGTGCTACAATCTCGAGACTTGGGATAATCTTGGAGGATTTCAATACTATTTCAATGGGTTTCATGATATCACTCCACATCAATGGGGATCTCAACAGCTTCTGGGTGGAAAAAAAACATGAAGAAAACGTGTTTCAACGTGGCGAGCCGTGAGAGACAGCGGTGGGCTATCCTGGACCCAGGACACGAACGTGCCCTCTACTTGCAGCACGAGAGGGACAATAGGTACAGCCGCGGCATTCCAATCACCCTGTGGGATTGTGCTTCGCTTCACATGGACGCCTGGATTTCCCGAGTTGGTTTTGCTTGCTGGAACCAGAAGCAAAACCACCAGAGAGGGATAGAACATTTGGGTATCTATTTAATCTATTTAGAATCAGCTTGTTTTGTCAAGAATGTTGTCTTCATATGTAGCACGTCCCCTCAAAATAGGAAAGGAATTGATCATTTTATTGATTCACATTTTAGTGGATGTTTCTTTTCAATCGTTTTGGTGGTACTTATTTGCTTTACATATCTTTTAAAGGTCGGTGATGGCCCCCAGGATGTGGATCCTGAAAGAAGTAGCCCAGCTCGACAGATGAAGTCGCCCGAAGAACTCTGCCTGGAGATGTTGAAAAAAGATCGGGAAGCGACCTGGCATGACCTGGTCGGAGAGGCAAAAAAACCCTCTGGTTATGACTAACATAGCTATTGAAACTGGCCATAGAAATAGTGGATTTTCCTAGTAAAAATGGTGATTTTCCATAGTTATGTTAGTTTACCAGAGGGTAACAACTTTGATTGTCAACAAACTTGAAGGAAATTAAACATGACTATGTATATTACTGTAAAAACATGTAAAAACTGCAACAGTAAATCTCCTCGATGTGATTTTGCCATGGCTTTCGGTGGACCCCTTGACAGGTTTTGCGGTGGTTTTCTGGGGATATGGGAGATATGTATACTGTAGACTATATAGATGTGATCATCTCTGATCATCCCAGTTGGCAAGTGGGTAACCCCAGTGATCATTAGGGTAGATGGGTGATAGATTTATAGGTGTCTTTATGTGATTTTGGTGATTTCCCCGGTGGAAAATCCACCTCCACCTCTAGGGAATCCCCCTGAGCTCCCAGGAGACGCAGCGCTATGACGATGAACTGTTTCAGCATTGCGTGGCCATTGATGCTCAGCGGTGCACTGAACTTATTGGGGAACCATAGGGAACCATAGGGAACCATACCACTACCTTCCCATCATGGTGGTTAGTAAGGGTAACCATCCCAACATGGCCTTCAGGTTAATGACCTAGAATTTATCCATGGGGGTCACCTTTGGCCAAAATACCAAAGCAATACCAAAGTTTGCCAAATCAGTCCCTTCCATGTTTCAATGTTTCCTAAAAGGGCAATATATTTTTTATTAATTTGTACTAATATTTTTTTTTATTAATTTGTACTAATATCATTTTCAAATTTCAGTGTTATCATTGTAATTACTATATGTCATATTTATATACGCATGATAATGACTATATATTATATATACAATATACATACAGTAGGTATACTCCAGTCTTGTTTGATCGTGAAATCTCACTACAAGGTATCCACCTAAAATCTGTGTTACTATTATTATTAAATATTATCATTATCATTATATATTTTTATCATTATTATAATCAATCATGTGTATATATATATATCAAACTTGTTTGTTGTTATCAATCACTTATCATAATTATGTAAGCCAACCTAGCTGAACCATGGGGTCCCCTGCAGGAAGGTTATGTTCGCCTCTATTCCCAGCTGCTGGAATACCTGGCCATGTCTTCTCACGACCCACGACCTGGGAGAAAGCCGGCCACCTGACAGCTGAAGAGCGGATGGTTGAGAGTGTATAGGAACCTCCAACAAAAACAGAACAGTACAGGTTGAGGTTTCCAATATGTACTATTTACAAGTATTTTAGGATTGGATCTGATTTGATTTATGGCATTTTTTTTCGTGGCTACAGTGTTGTAGCCTCAGAAATCATCATAACCCCAAGCTTTGGCATCAAGCCGCTGGTTTTGTTGTTTGACACCTCCCAAATACATTTCATGGTTATACATGGTTTGCATATCCATTATTGGATAGGTGCCCAGCAATAAACACTTGCACATGATTTCACAAATCACCCTAAATACATGGGCTATTGATGGCTATTATTGTTATACATGCCTTATATGATATGGTTGTACAATATGATACAATCTACAGATCATATGGTTGTGCCCATGTTATTGTATACAACCATATCATTTTTTAGTGCCCATACAGATACTTTATTGCACTGAAAAGCGCCCTCGCTGCGAGGCATCTGAGAAACTCTACCGACAATTGGGCCCGGGGCGCCACACCCTGGCTGACTTGGTCACTTGGCAAAGCATGGGGCCAGGCCTGGGGTCAAAATTCTTCTATATATGTCGAATATGTACTTGATTCTCAAGTTGTTATCGTGACTATATGTGATTGTTGTATGATTATATAAATTATATATGATTAATGATTGTGATTCATGATTCTCATTGTCAATTGTTTCAAGCAGTCTTCTTATTGTTGATGATCTATCATTATCTGGTTATTGTTCATTAGCGGATTTTCCCACTTTCCGGGAGGTGCAGTGATGCCCAAATGGCAACATTGGGTGTGTGTCCTCACACTTCTTGTAAGGTTAGCTGCTATATGATATCCCCTGCATCCCACCCTGCAATGATAAGATGCGTGCCCCACCTTTTAAATGCCACCATCGTGATGCCACCATTGTGATGCAGATCAGCCAGATTGCGTTGAGACACATCGACGGGTCAAATGAAATGAACTCAAATACACTTGTTGATGATTAAGCCGAATCAAATCCGCATATTAATCATATTCATATATAGTTCAATGAAATCAAATCTACACACCCACACGCATAGTGCATATACAATCATATACATATATAATCATATATACACATTATTTGCAACACACACACACACATATATATATATATATACATAAATAAATAAATAAATATATATATATTATGTATTATATATTTTTTGTACGTCCGTTTTCAGTAAGGCCCCGTGTTGAATGGGTATTAGCATCACATTCCCTTCAATCAATTGAATCGAGTTGTTGTTGGTTGAGATACATGTTGGTTGGATTGTTATACCGTACTGAAGCATTTTGGGGGGGTTGAAAACGTTGAGCAAGATCTCCGCATATCTAAGATGTTCTTTTCCTACTAGCTGCTAGCTGGTTTCTTAATATTGGAAGGTTAAACTACACAATCGGTACAGTAAACTATATGATAATTGTTATGGTGACTGATAGTGAACAGCGGCCCCTCGATTTTTTTCCGACATTTCTTCTTGGATCTCGTGCTGCAAGGAGTTGCTCCACTGCAAGATGCACGAGTGGCGTGCGTTGGGCGACGATGCTTCCGGCAGCGATGCACAGCGCGCCGCGCGGGCCACGCGGGTGAAATGCATGGCTGAAGCAGTACCTGGGGCTGAATCTGGGGCTTATTGAGGCTTATTGGGGTTATTTTATGGTGAAAACCGTAGACGGGAACCTCAGGAACCTCACGATTTTGGTGGTTTGTTCTAGCTTGTTTTTGCCTCATGCTTCTTTTAAGCCATGACAGAAATTTCAGGAACATAGGGGAAATTCCACGATTTGAGAAAAATTGTTACCGCGTGTTTGGTAGGAAATTGGTCCTCCAAAGCCATTCCGGTTTCATCCCAGTATGGATCAGAAGAATGGGCTACCATACATTGGCACTGGTAGAGAGAGAGAGAGAGACATTGGATGACATTGGCACTGGTTTGAGGGGTGAAAAATGTGGAAAACTGACGAACAATGCATTGTTGTAACCACCGCATGAGGGCACGCAAGAGAAAGTGGGGCCCAACATGGCCGAACTTTCTTGGGTGTCCTCCACAGGGTGGTCGTGTAAATCTGTGGGATGCTCACCAATTCATTGGCTAAGGCAGTCAAACCAATCATTTGAAACAGCGCAGGTATCCCCAACACAATCCATTCAGTGGAATTGTTCTGCCATATTTCCTGGGGTACCAGGGTTGGGGGGGAAAGATTAGATAGGGGACGGGTTCCAAGTCAATGACATGTCAAGACACGTGTGGTCAGGCAAAGCAGAAGACTTTGATGCCGACTCGAGGCTTTGGGCATGAAGGGCATGGAGATTTCCATGATTTGCCCGTGAAAATGGAACATGAAATCGAAGAGAACGGAATGGATGATGTTTTTGCAGGCCAGTAACCAATACCGAACCAGTTGATGATTCCATCATATTCCATCCATCTTCAAGGAGTTTTAGTATGTACAGCATGTTTGGAGGTACTCTCGACTCCCGAGACACACAGATACTTGTACAGAAAAAAAATCATCGGATTAGCTGAGACAAGGGACAACATGGGATTTTCCAGTATGCCACTGCAGACACGGGTAGATGGCCTGCTGAACTTTCCTGAGGAATGCCTGAAGGCACCACTTCCCAGCAAGAAGTGGGAATGGTAAACGCATGAAAACATCATGAAACGAATGTGTTATGCCAGTTGTGCCAATGGTGGTCTTAATGGTATGCATTGAAATACTGTATCAACATATCAACGATGTTGCCCACAAAAAGTAAAGTCAGCTCACTTAAACATGTATCATAAGATATAATTAACTATGAAATTGTCTGTGAATTTCCTCCGTGTCATTTGACCATATTTGACCCTTCAAGAGGCAGCAGCGAAAACTTGCAAAGAGAGATCAAGAAGGAGTGTGAGAAAGAGCTGGTGACTGGGCTGCGTCGTATCGGTAGAATTTAGTGTCATGAGTCATGAGGGACGAGCACTCACGTGTGCACTGTTTTTTTCCCTCGCTTGTGCTCTGGATTTGCTTCGTATGAAGGAATCCCCGAAAATGGCCTTTAAACTTCACTTACTGTAACTTTACGTATCATGTAAACGTTCAAAGAACTATCAACGTATTGTTGTTTTGTAAAGGAGGGGGGGGCCGTAAAAATTGAGACTTCACGTAACATTAGTACTTACCATGTCAATGTTCTTCATACTATCAAAGTGTTGCTTTGTAGGGGAGAGGTGGAGGCTAAAATTGTAAATTTCACGTAACATTACTTACCATGTCAACGCTCTTCATACTGTTAACGCATTGTTTTGTATGGGAGAGGGAGGCAGTAAAATTTGAAACTTCACTTATAATTGCTTGCCGTGTTAACGTTCGTCATACTATCAACGTATTGTTTTGTAGGGAAGCGGGGGCCCCTAAAATCTGAAACTTCATTTGACTTACCATGTCAAAGTTCTTTTTCCTCAACGTATTGTTTTGTAGGGGAAAGGGGGGGTGTTAAAATGTTAAATTTCACTTAACAATACTCAACTTTGTCAACGTTCCTCAGTTGCTGGTGGGGCTTTTTGGGAATGATTTGCAGGTCAATTTGTGGCTGACTTATAGGTCACATCAAAAAGGTCCAGTATTCTCCATCATGGTCCAGGTACATATGAGCCACCGTAAAAACCCCGGCAATACTAAATATGTATTGGACGGACATTGGTTTATGGAAATGGATGGAAATTGTTAAAAACACACGGTAAGCGATGGGACCTTCCCAAATTAGCGATACCCCTTTTCAAGGTTATGTCTTTTTATTTCTCTTATATCCACATTAGCGATACCCAAATTGGACGTTGATTTCTGTGAATTATATATTTAAAAACGTAGCAGTTTCCTGCAAGCGATACCCCCCAAGTTTACCATATATCATTATTGTACAAACGTGTGGTAAGCGATGGGACCTTCCCAAATTTGTGGATGTCCTTCCCTGAACCTAGGGTTTTCGAGATTGCTCATATGGGGGTGGAAGAAAAATACATACAACCAAGAACAAACAGTAACAAACACACAAAAACACGTTTTTGGGTGCAGGCATGATCAGGCATGTATAATTACAGTAGAATCAATTTTATATATATATATAGACATATTCAAGTAGGACGGGGTGTAGATGACTTTTGTGTTTCTCTCGCTTGAAGACAAGCTCTGTGTGGTCCCAGCAATCTGCAGGCGTGTCTTCGAAACTTGGAACAGCACCTCCTCCGTGCGCTCCTCTTCGAGAGATCTCTGGAAGACGTCTCTGAATCCTTTACCTGTCCCATTTGTTGCTTGGAGTCAGAGCATATTTCCAGGAGCGCCAGGACTCTGATGGTTCGGGAGGGCGACTCCTTGATCCAGGAGATATAGTTCACAAAAACATGGAAAAACTCTCTCATAACTTTAGAGAGAAAGGCCGTTTTTCCCTGTTTTTGCTTCCATACTTCAGTTTTTCTGAAAATGATTTTGCCAGTGGCCACATCCTGCCCCTGGACTTTCAGGTTTTGAAGAGGTGCCGATTCACGACTGCGGCATTGCACCCTGTGCGCACAAAGCTTGCATGAAATGCTGGGGTGCTTGTCTAAATCAAGACTGGAGATGCCCTATGTGCAGAAGTGACTGGGATTGAAACACGGACTTCAGAATACTTCGGACATTGCTTCTGCATATATATATATGATTATATAACTGGTTTGTTTATGTACGCCCGCTAAGTCTGCACATCAATTGGGAATTGATGTTTTCCTAGCAGTTTAAGTTGGAGGAATATGGATTAAACAGTTTCTGGACTTTGAGCGACAGTGAATCGGTGCATGGTCATAGACAACCCCAGCCCTTGTTTGATGATGTGATATCGGGACTGCAAGCATTGCCGTTTCAAGAGATGAAGGCAACGTCCCACACAGGGCTCAAATATGTTTTGTTTTTCCATCCTGTTTTTTTAAGTAATTATTATAACATATATTCTAATATCTCTTCCACCAGAACCCAGAGCTTTCAGATATTCAGATTGATGTGTGCATACATATATATATATATATGTAATACACATGCGTATATATGCGTGCATATATATATATATACATATATGGTCCGTGTCCCGTGTTCCCAACCCCCCCATGGGATGGGTCTCCAGGTAGCACCCCCTTCCCTTCTATTTGCAAGCTATTGGCAGCATTTCTGAGGTCCAGCCTCATATTTGCTAGGTCTTTGCAGCATTTCTGAATACCAGCCACGCACACACGCGCACACGCGCACACACACACACACACATACACACATACACACATACACACATACACACATACACACATACACACATACACACATACACACATACACACATATACACATACACATACACACACACACGCACACACACGCATGCATGCATGCATTGCATTGCATTACATTACATTACATTACATTATACATTACTTTACATTACATTACATTACATACATCATACACCCCACCACCACAGGCCACAGGGGGTGAAAACCATAAGAAGCAAAACTGGCCACGCATCACCAACATCCCAAACACTCCACCACCACAGGCCATGGGGGGGGAACCATAAGCAAGACAGAACACCCATCCCCATTTGCAGGGGGGGCCGATGCTGAACCATATATACATCCGTACGCATTGTCACATGTGGATCCACATGGTAGGTATAGTAGCAAGGTATTCCGAACACAATGTTTCAGATTCAATGGCCAATTTCAAGTGTCCATGATCCAATGCAAACATTGCGGTAGAATTTATCCACCTTGGTATTTGTACAATGGCAGATTTGCCCAGTCCCTTGGGCAGGAATCAAACTTGAGACACAGAAGAAAAAAAACAGACGGTCCACGCAAAGATCAACAAAGGGAAAAGGTTTGTGCCCCTGGTCGTTAGATCCTGAAACCCTGGTCCTGTGAGCCTGTGAGTGCAAATTACATTCCAACGAGTGTGAGTCGCCACATCTTGGTTGGATCAAGTCCCACTTGTTTCCACAGAACTGGATGGAAAATGTACGGTTGAAACCTTGGAAGCCCCCCAAAGAGAGGGTAATCATCCATTGAAGCACACCACAATACAGTAGTACAGCATATTTTGTTTTTGCTAATCGGCCCCTCGGGTGGTTCAATCATGTAAACTCTGGTGGTTTTCCAACATATGGAATTCCATCATGTCCCTATATGTTCCTATATTTGCCCATGTTTTTCCCATATGTTTCTTATAAATCCTGTGGATCTCTGGATTTTTTGACGGCCTGGCCTATCTTCTGGAAAGGCCCAACACCGGCCTTTTCACAGCGCCAGGTGAGGTCCTCATCACTCGGGTGGTCTCCGTGGAAGTTCCGAATCATGGCGGCTGTTGTGGCGGTTGTGGCTATTGTGGCTGTTGATCTTATTGAACCATCTGAACCATATGCTGATTGTAATTAGATGTAATCAATGTAACCATCATATATATATATTATCTATGGCCTTTATGGTTGTTCATATGGTTATTGTAATTAGATGGAACCATATCATGTAACCGTCATATATATATATACATTATCTGATCTATGGCCTTTATGGTTGTTCATATGCTTGTTGTAATTAGATGGAACCATATGTAACCATCATTTATTGTAACATGTTGTAACTGTCACATAAAAAATATATTTGTTATACATATATATATATATTGTTTTTGTTTGTTAACGTTGGGTCCTGGGTTCTTACTTCCATGACTATCATGGTTACAATGGTTATCAATGATTTCATGATTATAATGGTTGTGATGATATTATAGTGATGTACTGATGAGGACATAGTTATATTGTGTATAGAGCAGTATAGAACATAACTATAGTGTATACATACACTATAGTGACTATAGTTATATATATTAGATTGCAAATGGCTATACACTGTTATATGTTATGCATTACTATATTTATACATAACTTTGTTTATTTATGGGAATTTTACAGCGTGCTTTTGTAGGATTTCAGCAGTTGTTAAAATCAACAGTTTTCCCTGATGAGTGGAGGGATGAGCATCAAAGCTGCTGCTTCAGGTGTCTTGGGGTGCTTGTGTCAGATTTGGCAGAGGGAATCCTGAAACCAGTATATAGTAGCATGACAGTCAGATCTCCCCCTAATGATGTGACCTTGTTTGGAGTAAGCACTACAGTACACCAACACAGGCAGCATCAAATAGCCGTCCCACGGAAACTGCAGAAACCACAGCTTCTGCGGCCGTTTCTAAGGAAAGCGTTTTTACAGCAGATGCCGGATACACGGAGTATCGTCCAAAAACTGGGACGACATCACAACCGAATCCAAGTCTCAAAGCATCTTGGACCTCTACAGCAGTAAGAATGAACTTAAAAGTGGAGTAAGATCCATCACTTTTTTCGTGGTTTCGATCTTGGCATCAGTGAAGATTGGAGAGGAAAGGTCGGTGAAACATCGTTTTAAGATCATCGAACTTGCTTGCCTTCAATTGTTTGTTTTGATGCAGAGCACAAAGCCTAATGTATCTGCAGGATTTGGGATCCCACAGAAAGAACGGCGGATGTCCTTCGTTTTGGAACCATTCTTTTCTAAGACACCATTCAAACTTCAACATGAAACCCCAGGTACAGCGTCTACGGTTCCAAGCTGCAAAGCGTCGTGGAGATCATCCTGGGCATCTGGGATTCTGAGCCAGGCAGGGCGGCCCCATGGCCCCATTTAGCTCGGAAGGATCAGGATATAACCAAGGTCATCCATATGATATGCATAGTGCAGTAGAATATCATACATATATATATATTATAATATACTTTCTGAACCCCATGAACTACAGTTAGATCTACCCCCATAAACCCAGTTGAAGTGTAGTTGACGCTGTATGTTTACCAGAACCACAATATTCTTAATTATTATATCTTACAACACCATTATCTACAACTAACATTCGGTTGTATAATACCCAGTTATTAATTATTATCTTATAATAGCTAATTTATATCAGTTATATCTAATACTATCATGGGACTATCTATATGCTTATATGTTAAGTATATCAGTTATGTCATCCCATTGTTATCTAATAAGTTATGCCCAATGGTCTATATATTATCTAATTTCACAGTTTCATCTTACCAACATACAGAAACAGTATACAGTATATAGTTGTGAATTTGAATGCCCATGGAATTGCTGATTCCGAAAACAAAAAAAATAAAAAAAAACAATTCAAAAAACGACTGAAAATAAAAAACAAAAAATAATCAAAATAAAAACACCTGGAAAACAGATACTCAACAGAAGACTCAGAAAAAACACACAAAATAACAAAATAAAAAAAATAAAAGAAGGAAACTTTGCTGCAAAATGCTGATTTTGAAGGAAAACTTGTGAAATCTGCTGAACATTGGAAACAAATCAGGAAAAATGCAGATTTGAGTCCGGGATTTAGTCTTCTGCTGAGATCTTTTAATCGCGTTGGAGAAAAACAACAAACATGTTAAAAATCTGAGGGGGAAAAAAACCAAAACAACATGTTCAGCAGATTTCGCAAGTTTTTCCTTGAAAATCAGCATTTTGCAGCCAAGTGTCCTTTTTTGTGTTTTATCTATTTGTGTTTGTTTATTTTTATTTTTGTTTTCCCCCTCAGATTTTTAACATGTTTGTTGTTTTTCTCCAACACGATTAAAAGAAACAAATCCAGACTCAACAGAAGACTAAATCCCGGACTCAAATCTGCACTTTTCCTGATTTTTTTTTCAATGTTCAGCAGATTTCCCAAGTTGTTTCTTCAAAATCAGCACTTTGCAGCAAAGTTTCCTTTTTTTTGATTTTGTGTTTTTTTTTTTTCTGAGTCTTCTGTTGAGTCTCTGTTTTCCAGGTGTTTTTATTTTGATTATTTTTTTGTTTTTTATGCTCAGTCGTTTTTTGAATTGTTTTTTTTTAAAGTTTTTTTTCCCCTTGATTTTGGAGTTCTGTGAGGAATTCTTTTTCACAACTATATATAGATTGTATATAGATTATATTTTCCATATAATATATAATATGCATAACGTATAGTATATATGATATATTCTTATAAATAAAGATAGATATGGCATCCCTCCAGATATAAATATATATATATATATAAATAGATTTATAAATAATCTTATTCCCCCTAGTTATGGCATTTTTCCAGGCGCCAAGATCCTGGTCTTCTGCCAGTCCGAAGAGCTCCGGAAGCGCGCGGACCATGCCTTCGCCACCTTCGGCCTGGAGCACGTGACGCTGAAGGGCGATGCCCTGGAGCGGGCTGCCTCCATCCGACGTTTCTACGGCGACCCAGGGACGGGGTGGGCTATGGTGGGCTGGTGGTTGATGTTTATTGGGTGGATTAATGATATGGGTATGGATCAATACCTATGAATACCATTTTTAGTGGGATGAACATCCATAAATCCCAGCTATTTTGATGTGAACAGAAGGGGTACTATAGGTTTTGACACACTGCCATATAATTATGAAAATTACATCTATGATGGGTGATATATTGAAGAATTAAGTGCGATGTTGTGATATTTTTTGTTGATATGATTTGAGAGATGGTATGATATGATACGATATGATTCGATGTTATAAATGATGACTGGGATATCCTGGAGCACGCATGATACCATATACTTCAAAAAGTTGGATTATGGATTTGTTTACTTTAGCATTAAAGTTCAATCTCACATTCTATACTGTAATTCCAGTAATTAGACTGGAAGCAAAGCCAGTTATGTCGATGGTTAAATTTTTGTGAATGCGGCCATGCGTGTCATGCCTGGCTTAAACCATTGAGTCGTAGGTGTGGTATCTATTCCTGGTGGTTCAATTCTGGTGGGGCGAAGAATCAACTATGCATTTTAGTTTCTGAAGCCATCAAACCACGACTTGTTGGCCCTTCAAAGGCTGTTTTCCTTACTCTTGGAAATCAATCATGGCAATGAACAATCCCCAAAGTTGTTTCTTATATACATCGTGAAATTGTGGATTTCAAGTTGCATTGCCAAAGGACAACATGTTGCCATGCACCAAAGTACCAACCCCCATTTTCAATGGTAGAATGCCCAGGAACGAACCCAACTGAAACTAATTTCACCACCGAGGTTTTACTGAGTCCGCCAATGTGATGCTGGGACGGCAGTTTCAGCTCAGATTATGGGGATGTGAAACCCTGAAAAGTCGCAGCATCTTGCAGACCTTTTCGTAAGGCTTCTGGCCAAGGTTCCTCTTTTCTCTGAGGACCTGGGGGAAATCAACTAAGCCCCGCACTTAGAGTCCCCGGGATGTTTGAAGATGCTAGGAGATGTTGGAACCCTAGTCATGAAATGTCATGGACAGATTGGCATATCCCCAAGTTTGTTGATATCCCCAAGGAAGTCCGACAACCTCCACCATTGGTGATATCCTTCCATTGCTGTGGGAATCTGTGGGATCATGACACTTCGTATAGTAGTTTCAGGGTTCATAAGCCTGGTGAGTCCCCAAATCCTGGCTTATCGATGTTATAAGCAGGTTATAGCCCCAATTGCTAACCAGTTTTCTGGCTGAATTATAGCGACCTCACTGCGACCTGACTGGAATAATGGTTAGTAAGCGCGTTGTCATGAATTATTCCCAATATGAGCCTTATTTCAGGTTAGTGAAATATTGGTAAGTGCATCCCACCTAGTAAATCATGTATACCCTCAGTTATGGAATATCTCCTATGAAATATGGGAACTATGGGTTTTACATGGATTATAAACCATGGATTTAAAGTGGGATGCACATCCAATTCACCAGTTACTGCCAGGATGCTGCTGTCCATGGAGATCTCCCCGAGCGGTTTAAATCTCACGGTGGCGCACCATGTGATCCTTGCGCAGCCCACGGTCCGGGGGGAATACGACGAAGCGGTGCCGCGCCGGCACCGGACGAGGTTTCCGAAAATGGAGGTACCCAAAATGGACGGTTTATAGTGGAAAATCCTATTTATATATGGATGATTTATATAGAGGTACTCTCGTTTTAGGAAACCTCCATACCAGATATATGGGGTATAATGTGGCAAAGCCAATAATAAACAATCACTAATAGATGTTTTTTTATTGGGTGTACCGCATTCGGTTTTGGAATGATAGGGCGTAGGGCGATTTGCCTCCGGAAGCGGAGTTTTGGATGTTTTGGATTTGCCAATGTCCCCAAAATAAATCGATAATGGTGTTTTAGGGGAATGATGATAAACATTGATCAACCATAAAAAACTTTGGGGTGCCGTTGAAAACCACCCCTTTTTGGTAAGTCATTGGGGGTTGCTTAGTATTGGAATGGGCTTACCACACTACATCACGCTGCTAATTAATCTACGTAGTCATATTGGGGTCCAAGTACTCGTACCACACCGGAATTTGGGGGCGCAGTCATGGCGGTCTTCGATATGAGAGGGAATGAGATCCAATACATACTAAACCAGATCTTCAAGGAGAGCCTTTCGTGTGGTAAACACCAGAAAATCCAACCATTTATAACGATCCATCTATGATATTCATGGCAACATTAGGGAAGGTTTCTGATATTTCACCATTGGGTTTACCATATATTCCTACAAGGGTTACAGTATCGGGGTTCCCCGGCTCCAGAGACGATCTTTGAAAGGTGGACTTTGAAGAGCAAGCGATCGGACGCTGCTGGCGGCAGGGTCAAAAGTCGGTGGTCCACGTGTGGCGACTCTGTATGCTTGGCACGGTTGAGGAGGACTTTTTTTCCCTGGAGGGCGTGCCAAAAAATGTGCGAAAACCTCAGGGTCTTAAAAAGTGCCATTAGTTTTTTAACTTTTAAGGAGACTTCATGGGGAACATGATGATTATATACCCTATTTTGGGGGTATCCCGTTTTTCAGACCATAGATTATAGAATGATTTGTGTATTTGCAGGGATAGCTGCCGCTATTGATCGCCCGTGCGTAGGAGATGGTGGACAAACACATGTCGCTATGGACAGAGCGGCAACTTCGTTGCGGCGCGCGGCCTCAAGCAGTGAATCACTCTGCGCGATCTGAATGACCACCTACGCCACTTGGCGGTTTCACCCCGCAGTTACCCTCTGGTGAACTAACATAGCAATGGAAAATGGCCATAGAAATAGTGGATTTTCCCATGAAAAATGGTGATTTTCCATAGTTACGTTAGTTCACCAGAGGGTAATTGGAATGATAACTATTTGGGTGGGCACCATTTATTACATCTATTTACAATATATTGTAACTAAACATATCACTATTTGGGGGACCCAGCTGAATAAACATGCTGTTTATTCAGCCTGGGATGACAGTAAGAATCAATTTAATATAATTTAGTTGGGAATTTAATCGGGACATCGTGCCCCACTTCTGATACTAACCACAATAGTCATCCCAGCATGACTTACTGAAACCGATGTATGTTGCCTGATGTCAACATGCACAAACTTACTCGATTGCCACTTGTTTTAGAGACAATCCTCTCTCCCTATTACTAAAACACACCACCCTCCCCAAATGGTGAACACGGTGATCTATTTTTGTATTAGGGTGCCCCTAATATCCCAAGGAAAACCCTAAGAATAAAAATAAAAAACTCGATTTCAAATTTGATTAAGCCACTTTTTTAAATCCTATGTAAAATAAATATTGCCAAAAACTGGATTTCGAAGCTTTCCCCCAATATTCCAATGAAAACCTTAATAATAAAAATAGAAAATAAAACTTGCGAGATGGGACCCTAATAAATAACCTTCAGGTGGCAATCTATTTTTATTAATAGGGGGTTGAACCCATTGTTATTGACTCTCAATTGCCACAATCTAGAATTCAACTGTGCCCAACCATTAAAAAAACCGGAAATGCCACACAAAATCTATCTTTTTTCTTGGGGGAGTTTTAGTAATGGGAAGAAGGGATTAGTTTGCTCAATTCTGCTTAGGAAGCTGGACAACAGGTCTCCATGATCATGTTCTGTGTTGACTTGCTTCGTTTGGGCTCCATATAATTACATTATGCATCCATTTAATCCATTGAATGGTTGTTTTATGAGTCTTGATTTCATGATTTTCAGGGGTCTCTAAGCATTCTAAGCACCAACAACCTCGAGGTTTGATTCGCCTCACTGGCAAATCAGTGCTGAGAAAAGTGCCAGCGCAACGGCACAATACCAGTCGTTTCGCGATGCATTGTGCTGCGCCAAAAGCATCCAGCGAGGGCTTGGGGCAGGGTATCTCTGGAAAAGTGTCAATTTTAGTCCGAGTCACATTTAAATTTGTTGATATTTTCTCAGCAGACTATGACTGGCCATAGGCCATACGTTATTTAAGCGGCACGTATTAGCTGACTTTTCAATTCGTAGCCAGCCGCAAGATCCCCATTCAGATTGGCTTGCCCAGAAACTCGCTGTGCCACAGCCGAAAAATTCTGGGTTCAGGGTCCACAAACGTGGCGATGGACCATCCCCCCACTTAAACAGCTGGGTTTTATTGGGAAAATCATCTACGGTAGATTTTTCACTGCCATGTTTGCTTGTGAGAGGATGTCCGGGCCGGGGATGGATGACAATGGTGACAGGTACCGCAGCAGACATCTTCAAAGAAGAGTCTTCGCAATTTGCCACGCGGATGCAGCTGTTGAACAGGTTGGTTGAGAGGTCCAAGGAGAAGCACTGCAAGCGCCCATAAAATATCCAAGGAGGGACCACCATGCCCCAATTAGTTGATACAAATATCATCATAAATTATGATATATAATATATATATATAATTTATATTCATGTTTATATGATTCTATATAACATGAATATGTATATGTTATTATTAATATATATATATATATTATTGTTATATATGTAAATATATGAGCACCTATAGTTTTTTTGATGGGTGGGTGGCCCAAGTCCCAAGGGGACGATGACCACCTACAGAAGGATGCTGCAGATGCTCGGCAGCACTTTCCATGGCATGGCCCATTGACGATTTTACCTGTTGAACATGGCGATTTTCCATAGGTATGTTAGATTACAAAGGAGGACCCAGAGGGTACCTGAAGTCAATTCATTAAGACATATTAAGACTATATAATCGATTGTTTCTATTGGACATGTGATCAGCTGGTCATGTCACTCCTTGGGTGTATAGGTAGATTCTTTCAGTGGAAATGCTTCCATTTACGGTTCAATGAGGTTCTATTCGCGCGAGATTTGGACAGATTAGACACACACACCACCCCGGATATTCTGTAGTGATGGACTGTTTCCGGGAAGCATCCATTGTGCAATGCAGTGTATGATGTGCCTATTGACAATAAGAACATGGAGTGACAACGCACCACAACGCATACATACCGCCATATAGATTTGGGCCGGGAATACTTGAATAAACATGTCCTAAATCATTTAATGAATTAGATATAATTAGATTCATTTAGGTGTTTGCGTATCCCTTTCACCAGAAAACAGTTTAGGTTTGATACCATGAAATTTGTTGGACAGTATGATACAACTATGATGCAATCAATGAAGCATCACCTCATTTGCTTTGATGTATGTCCAAACCATGCAATTCAATGCGCTGTTGATGTGACAACAGGCAATATAACATTGGCATGCATTTCAGGAAGCACCTTCAAGCGATAATTTTGACATTTCAACATTATCCCGTCTCTCCCATCCCCCTGAAGTTCAATGCCCTCATATACTCTAACCCCAAAATGAACAGATCCAATAGATTTTCACCATGGGTTTAATAATGCTATGTAAGACACGGTGGTAAACACGCCATTTCGAGATATATTTACGGTAACTAAGGCATTTAAGTTGGTAAACAAAAACCATTGGAAGCCCCGGCACGAGCGGCGATATCACCAGGCTCGCGACGTTGCAGCCACGCACAGACAGGAAGACCGTGTCGCTGGGTTGAGTTTTTTTTTTGTGGAACCTGGGTGGAGAGTTTTTTTTCCTCAGGGACACCCTTAATTTTGTTGGTTAAAATCAGCATTGTCCATATTAAATGGCCATGTTGGGGGAGGCGCAGTGTTGTGCAGGATCCCAGGCCTCAGCTGCAGTATAACAGGAAAGGGAAAAAGACCACATCATATAATGGGGGTATACCATGGTATCCCCATTTTCAGACACACCTATATGGGGTTTGGAAGCCAACATAGACAACCAACCCCAACATAGTCAACTAAACCTTACTACACCAACAAACGTGATCAGCCACAAACGAGAAGATATGATTATGCAGCACAAATGACAACTTAAGTTACAAAATGGGAATGAGTTCAACTAACCAAAAACAAACAATTCGCCCATCAACATCATCAACATGGGCAGGGCAGTCAACCAATAAGATAAGGGATACCATCCATTTTATGTTTGAATCGATATTCATTATATATCCAGATGCACATCTCAAACGTCACAGCCGGCCAAGGAGGCCGGACCCCAACGTCCAGCAACTCCACCAGCTGGGGCCTCCTTGCAACTCGGCACTGGGACACCTCGGTGAGTTGCCAGGGGTCCAAAATCGTATCCCAGGAGCCATCCCAAACGCACCAGCAAATAGGGCCAGAAACAATAAACATATCCGACAATTCTAAATCATTAATTTTTCGGGTTCCATTCTCTAAATTCTAAGTTGATGATTCAATCAAGATATCGTGCTTTCCTGTGACAGTTTAGCTTCCAGATTCCCCTGGCTCCACAGGTACAATTCAAGGAGTCCCTCTTTCCAGTTGCTCAGTCTCTGTGGCACTGCGTTTCTTGAGCAGCATGGGTTTAGGATGAGGGGGTAGCGTGTTACGAGTGTTTGGTGTCCAAAATCCCAGCTTGATTAGTAGAGGATAGAGGGGCAATCCCAGAACAAACAATAAGAGGTACCCTCCGGGGATCAATTTTGGCAAGGGGAAATCCCCTATGAATGCAGGTTATACTAGGAACATCATCTAGAAGTGGTGGATTTTCAATTGCCACGTTTGCGCACGTTTGATTAAAGGATGGTACCCTCTGGTAAACTAACATAGCTATGGAAAATCACAATTTTTAATGGGAAAATCCACTATAAATGGTCATTTTCAATAGCTATGTTAAATTACCAGAGGGTAAGTGGTGTTTGAAAGGGTCGCAAGCAGACCCTCCGTGTCCGCCCCAAAAGACAGAATTGTGGACTCAATTAACCATGACTAGAAATGGGTTTCTAGGTGGGTCGGTCACCCAAGATAGCTCAAAATTGAAGAGCACAAAGATCAGAAGCTCGCTTTGCTCCAGAAAGACAGTAACAGGCCAAGTTCATACAATATCTATATGCTAGTATAAATACAGTGTGTGTATATATCTATATATATATATACATATCTGTGTGTGTGCTCTCCTTTGAGATCTTTGGGGTTTTGGGGCCCTCACAAGCACCAACGACAACGCATGCGTTTCCATGGAATTTGATTGACCTATGCTCTCCACCCGAGCCGCTCCATCTCAACAAATAGGGTTGACAGGAGGCAGCCTGGATGGGCTCATATTCGTTGATCACCGAGGCCATAAATATGTAATGATACATAGTCAATAATAGTAATAACCCAAAAAAAACAATAAACATAATGATCAAAAATGATAATTATAAATATATATTCATATATATATATACACACTGTGATACATAAAGAGATTAATGATGGTCTCCCACATAGGCACCTCTTTTTCTCTGGAATATTTTCGCCCAGGGAGCCCTATGGAGGCGGAGGTCTATTCGTGGATGCCGGCAGAATTGGTTGAAGCTTGGACCACGTTTCGATTCCCATGGGCCGGCCGGTCACAGCAACTGATGAGATGTGACTATGCGGAAAACTAAGCCAATAATCACCATGTATTGGCATAATTATACACACACAATCACACACACACACTATATATAGACAAGAATGTTAAACAATTGTACATATAATATCCCGGTTGATAAAACAACAACGTAACTATAGTGATGAACTTGAGAATTGTCCAAAATTATGGGGATACGAATGGAGACATGATACGAATGGGAATTGCGGCAGCAACTCACCATGGGTTGATTTCTTCAGGGCCTTGATATGTCAGATTCAGATTTAATTTGGCCAACTGAAGATATAGTTGAGATGATACTGCTTAATGCTTGACTAGAATAGATTTGAGTCACTAGAAAACCATGGTGGGAATATCGGCGCTGCTTTCATCCATGCTGATCCAGAACTGACAGCTGAGCTGAGGACAGACTTGACGAGAGCAAAGAAGTTAAGCCGCTTAGCTGGATGGATGGATGGATGGATGGATGGATGCCTGGTTCTCTGATTGCTTGCCGTATTGAAGTACAGCTAGTTGTGTATCAAAGCGTCACCAATCAGCTGATATCAGCTGTGTTGCTTACCAAGGAGATGTTGGAGAGTCAGAGGGCTTCAACTGTAGCATCTGCTTCCCAGTGTTGATGAGAAAGTTGAAAGGGTTACAGCGTTTACAGTATATGTTTTTGTTTTTCTCTTACTTTTTACTGCTGACTACTGTTGTTTGTTGATTGCATTATCTTAGCTTCGCAGTTTTATTCCCATTGTTATCCCCATAGCCATAGAAGCCCAGCCCGTTGTCCACATCAAAGCCCATCTTCAGCATGGGCCCCAGAGGAATGAGTTAAAGAACTGGGCGATGCGCTTCAGTGAGCAGATTTGTCAATGGGCAAGTCGCGTCACATGAGTTGGGGCCTTCATAGATGAACACTATTGAACACTTATGTCACCATCTTGAGAAACATCTTTGGCCACGAGAAAAACCGGAAGGGGCTGGCATTCCCAGGAAAGATTTCCTGAGTCTTTGCAGCGCGGATTGGTACATGATGATCCCAATTGACTCAAATGATGCCCTTCGGTAATCGAGCATTGCAGCATGGCCAGGAAATCCTCGAAGCATAGGGGTTTTGAATGGGGCAATGGCCTAGAAATTGTTTTTTTTTTTTTTTAATTGCCATGTGAGATTACTGTAGGGTAGTAGTTTTTTGATGGCAAAAATGGTGGTTCAACCACCAAAGCACATCAGGATGTTCCGTGTCTTTAGAGTGGCGCTTAGACTCCGCACCACTCCCCAAGGGAGAGTGCTTGTCACCCGTGGCCGGAGAGAGCCCAAGAAAAAGTGCCGGCGGAGCAAAGAAGGTCTATTTGGGTTTGAAATAGGGTACCAAATTTGGTTATGCCATAGGGTTATGCCATAGGGTACCCCCAAAATTTCATGGGAATTTCATCGACACATTTCCCCGACAATGCCGGAGTGTGTGTGGGTGAATTGTAGCGACACAGCGACTGATTGATCCCACATGCCGTACCTGCCATTTCGGGGATGGCTGGCAGCCATAAAATGGGTTAAGACAAGCAAGTGAACCCGGATTGGGGTCAGAAAGCTAGTGACAAGACATGTTTGGGAATAACTTCTTGCAAAAGCATGGCAGAGAAATCCGGTCCCTTGAGCTTGAAAGATTCGACTCAGTATTCTTCTCTCAGTGCTTCTGGACACAGCCTTATGTACTATACCCTTTGGTATCCCTTTGGTAATCAAAGAGGGCAGTGGAAACTCCTCCATTTACCCTCTGGTAAACTAACATAACTATGGAAAATCACAATTTTTAATGGGAAAACTCACTATTTCTATGGCCATTTTCAATAGCTATGTGAAATTACCAGAGGGTATAGATTATTTGCCCATTGGAATGATTTTTTGAATTACCGTTGAGTTCGGGGATTTCGCAGCTAGTCATGTTTGATGACCGGCTCCCATGTCCCAGGCTCGGAGACCTCCAGGGAAACGACCACAGCATCCACGGCCAGACGGAGTGAGGCTTTTTGGCGGCCGGATGTTCCCTTGGCAGTTTGCTTGTGCCGAATGTTCGGGGCGAACACAGTCCTTCTACTTCATCCAATGTTCTTTTAATTATGTTTTCAAATGAAACTAATTGAAACTAATTGAAACTAGTCTTTTGCCAACAGGTTTGGCGCTGCTGTGGTGAACCAAATGATGGACCCCTATAGTTATACCACCTATTTCCAGCACAATTGGGGATGACTTCTCCCTGAATCCTGTGTCCAGTCGCCCAGGTTTCAGCACAGTCACGCAATCCGTTGAGTGCCAGCATGGTTGCAGCGCGCTCAAACTTGGGCGGGGAGGGCAACCTGCAGCTGGTGATTGAGCTTGGTGAGATTAAGTTGTTTTCCATTGTCCAACGGTCATTTCAAAATATGGCAATCACAAATCCAACTGAAACAACGACAGAGGACACCCCCAACAGTGCAATTTGTTTTTCATCTAGCATCAAGATGACTATTCATCCACTCAAACTCAATAATAATAATAAGAAGAAGACAAATAAACAAAAGACACCATATTTCCATATATTTCCATATATTTCCAAGTCATCAACCCAAACCTGTACTTGCAAAATATTGCTGGAATGAGCCAGCCAGCTACTGACAAGGTTCTACAGTACAGCGGGCTGGCCTGGGCAAAACCACACCTGGGAAGCATTGTCCCAGTATGTCCCAGGTAACTAATGCCTTTGGATGGGGTAAAACATCCCAACCATACCCAGTACCAGTACCATTCACACGTTCACACGATTTTGGATGATCCCGAAAACCACTTCTGAATGGCCAATGTTCTGCTAGCGTCCATGTCCGGCCAAGGCGCGCTAGAGCCGCTGTAGTCTTTCGAATCCTGGCTGTGAAGCGTGACCGCCAGAGTCATGGGCCAATGTAGTGCAAACAAACTGCGTCCCATGATTGGCCAGCATTTCGGATGAGTTATGACATTTCTGGACTGTTGAATAGTCCTGTCCCATTTTTATGTAGGACAGTGTCCTACTTGTTGTATAGATGTTCCGAACAACCATCATAATCATTCATAATCCGTTATATAATATAGATGATTATAGATGTGTTCTGTCAGACTCGTTGGCTGCAAATTGTCCAACCAAATTTGGCACAGGTGATGCAAACAGGTCCATGCGGCACGCAGGTTGTAGTGAGTTGGCTGCGGCATCAAAACCCTGCTATTTTGGCAGTTCAATTCGCACGTGTGCGGCACCGTCGTTTTCATGACTTTGGGGTGGTCGTAGCGGAGTGTTTACTTTCACGCTTTTCCGTGGCAGAGTCTGGATATACTGATTCAATGCAGCTACCTTGCACAGACGATTGATTTTGTTGGGGGTTCTCTTTAATTCACCCCAAGACCACAGGGACTCGATCTTTCGAGTCTAATTTGCTGGCTTGCAGATGGGAGCAGGGTCGGCAGAAAAGAAAGAAAAGGCCACGAAGCTTGGCCAGCTACTCTATGCTTGTGGGACACGGGTTAGGTATGGTCAGGTATCCTAATTTTTTTTGGACACATCCCATCGAATAATAAAGCGAGTATCATCAAATATCAGCAATACCACCTGTTGAATTCAACCAGTGTTTGTTTTGAGGTGCATTGGGCTTGCTTGGTGAGCTTCAAAGAACAGCCAGCTCATAACAGGAAAAGCATGCAGCCACTACAGGAGGGTAGGGCCTAGTTTTGCTGGTCTCCAATTGCCCTGGGTTCCAATTACGTGGCCACAGATTGCTCGTGGGTGATTGTGAATTCGATGATGCTTGTCAGGATGAGGAATGATTCTGGGACATTGTGATGATGACTCTTGGGGTCACAAGCAAGATATAGAGGAAGTGGGCAGGGACTTTGTTGGCATTGGCCGTGCCTGCGATTTGGCAGATTGGGATGCCGGCACGTCGGAAAACCGCAGTTTTTTCCAGTTTTTTCAGGGAGTTTCCGGGACATTTTTCCAGCCGTCAGCTTTCCAGTGCAGTTGACCTTTGGTTCAGCACGCTGGCAGTTGACCGATCCCCGCAATGGTGCGAGCAACCCCGCTCCTGGTTGCAGGTGGCATTTCGCGGCGATGGGCTGGGATCATGTTGGATAATCTTCATCAAATTTGAGGAACAACTAGAAGAATATAGAAGAATTGTACAGTGTACAGTATTGCACAATATTGTACAGTACATTGCAGTACCCTTTTTTCCTTGTATAGTTATATATGACTGTTTATATAGACACCATGTCTCATGGTGCATCGAGCTTGCCAGATGCCTCTTGTGATTGCATCAGATTACGTTTGCTGAAGTGAGAGGAACTGGGAAGAATTACATTACATGTCTATCCGTATGTTCACTACAAGATTGATGCGCATGATGGCGAACCAGTAGAATTTGGTACGCAGTGGATGCACAATATGTATATATGATGTTTGCCCTGGTCAGTTCCCGCAATCCTTGGTCATGAGAAATGTTCGAACCTGGGGCTGACAGGCAAGTATCGAGAAAGCATCAGTAAGAACTGTTCCAACTCACAATTTTCACAGCCTAAAAGCAACTCGATGAAATTGAACATTCAAACTTTTTCAACATACTGCAGTGAATCAACCACCAAGCTAAAATCTGTGTTCACCACAAAATTAGATAAAATTAGCAAGTCACCAGGTGCTGGCGCCCTGGTTGCGCCCTGCTTCCTTGCGCCCTGGGGAGAAACCACATCGCGCTCCCATCAGCTGAGGGGTGATGCCGCTGAGAGGCGTTTTTCCAGCGGCAGATTTCATTTCTTGGGGGTGATGTATGGTTTTATATACCGGATATTTATCGATATGTGATATATGGACCTATCGAACATATCATATTTGGGATGATTATGGAATATTATGGATAATCTAGGATCTAGGTTAGGATATTAGATAATCATCTAGAGGGTAAACGGCTATTCCTGACCATTTCAATCACTAAATCATCAGAATAACTATCATAATAATCCCATCCCCCTGACATTGAACATCACCATTGTACCCAAGTCCTCCCAAATATGTCCTCCTCTTATCTACATTCACAATGGTTTCTGGCGGGGTGTTTGATTAATTTTTTTGTACTGTATGGAGGATTGGATTGACCTGCCAGGCTGCCTGGATTGAAGAATGCAGGGTTTATGAATGAATATGAATATGAATCCATATCAATCCATTTTATTTTTCATCACCCCTCCCAAAATGTGAACCAGGGTTTCAAAATGTTTCCAATAATCCAGGGTTGTATTTTCAATGTCAGAAAGCCTCATTTTGGGATATGATGTTGCATACGCTCCAGCTGGTAAACAATCAGACATATAAATGGGGTATGGCTTACTGCTGGGTTTACCACATTGATGGATTCAGCTGCAATGGTGGATTAAATCCCCATGTTGGTTAAAAGATGTCTAGCTAGACCCTGATCAATGGTTGCTCAAAACCTTCAGATTTTGTCGGGTATACAATGGATCTTCGTGCTTGGAATGCCAGCAGTCTGTTGGTCAGACCGGAATTGGCACTAGCAGTTACTAGCAGTTTGTACCAAACCTGAGTTACCAAATGTCTGGGTGAACTAAAGCGGATTCTTGGATGGTTGCTACATGAGAACTCAGTGGACACGTATATTTATTTAATTACTGTGTATAATATATATATATATATTATGTATATATATATAGATGGCTCACTTCAATGGTCTCCCCCATCAAAAAAAGCAGACTTGGATGAAGGGACAGTTTCCAGCAATTAATGAAACAAACCGGAACTTTCCCCATCAACCAAATTCCAAAATCCATGACTTTCCATGACTTTTCATGTCTCCATGAATGCAGGAGTTGTTCATGGCTTTTCCTCGGATTTTCCCGCCATCACAGGGAGCGCGGCACTGGGACCTCTTCCGCGGCGCCAAGCGCGGCGGTTGCCGCGCTGCCGGTGGCGGGCCTCCTGGCGGCGGCTGGGCGACGTGCCTTGGTCGTGAAGCGTCTTCAGCATGGCAGGGATGGAATTTTCTGGGTAGATCAGTGGTGATTTCTTGAACTGTGGGATCCCGAGTCGTCACCATAGGTCACCATGGGTAAACCAAATACTGAGTCATACTGAGTCATATAAGTCATGGTCATCCATAACTTGGATGAGTTTGGGGTACCCCCAGCCATTTTAGGACACTTCCAAATAGGTAGATAAGTATGGGTTGTAATATAAACCATCAATCCACATGGAAGGTTTATGATTGCTTTAGTAGAGAGGTAGATGGTTAGAGACAGACTGACAGGCTGACTGATAAATCGATAGATAATGATAGATAGAAAGAAAGAAAGAACTATAGATAAATAGATTGATTGATTGATAGATTGATAGATTGATAGATTGATAGATTGTTAGATTGATAGATTGATAGATTGATAGATTGATATATTGATTGATTGATTGATAGATTGGTAGATCGATAGATCGATAGATCGATAGATCGATACATCGATAGATCGATAAATAGATAGATCGATAGAGAGATAGAGAGATAAATAGAAGATAGATAGATCGATAGATCGATCGATCGATAGAGATATAGATAGATAGATAGATAGATAGATAGATAGATAGATAGATAGATCGATAGATCGATAGATCGATAGAGAGATAGAGAGATAGATAGAAGATAGATAGATCGATAGATCGATCGATCGATAGAGATATAGATAGATAGATAGATAGATAGATAGATAGATAGATAGATAGATAGATAGATAGATATATAGATAGATAGATAGATAGATAGATAGATAAATAGATAGATAGATAGATAGATAGATCGATCGATAGATAGATAGATAGAGATATAGATAGATAGATAGATAGATAGATAGATAGATAGATCGATCGATAGATAGATAGATAGATCGATCGATAGATAGATAGATAGATAACTAGGGTCTGTACAGAAAATAAGTATTTATATGGATATATAGTGACATGGAATTCTTATCAAATATAACGGGATATAATAGTATAATGTGAGAGAGAGAGGGAATGGGAGAGAGGAGTGTAAGGATATAATGCAGATGTAAACAAGAATGGCTATGTAATCAAGTCCACAAAATCATTGAAACCCGTGTGTTTGTTCCGCGTTCTTATCTGCGCAAAATCCGGGAATAATCTATGATACATGTTAATACGGGCAATTCTTTTCTAGGTAAGATTGCCAGAGGGTATCCCTCAACATGTAAGAATGATATTTCTGCTCATTCAGTGTGTTGCTGAAAACTCCTTTCAGCCAACATAGAGCTCCAGTGGGAGCACATTCAAAGATCGAAGGTGTGTATATGTTTTGACTTTGCAAAATTTTTCCATCGCTCGTTTTCTCCCTGCGAAGAGAACAGAAAGACGAGAAAGGCAAAGAAACCTTGAATTGGCAAAAACTCCCTGAGCAACTCCATAAAACCAAAAGTGGAACATGACTTTCCTACGTTGAAGCCCGTTCGTGAGGCTCAACCAGCACGGAGACTTCAGCTGACTCAAACATAAATAGCAAAGATTGGATGCAGCCGACAAGAATTTAGAATGGGGATATCATTGGAAGTAAACCAAGAACAATTGGATAAACATCATCGTTCATTGGTCCTACTGGTTGGTTGGGTAAGATTCAAACCACCACAAATGGCAAATCAGCCAAAAGGAACCTGAAAGATACCCGAAATTTCAGACTCATCAAAAATTATGTTTGATGGAAATCACCATGAACCATTTTTTTTTTGTGTGTGTGTGTGTTCATGTCAGCTTTCAAGGGAACCAACCAAAATGTTCATTGGAAATACTTGGAGATATTTACTTAAAGAAAAATCTAAAGCCTGTTTCCAGATCACCATGGAGTTAAAGGCTCCTCGCCCATTGGGGCAACCCATTTTAATGTCCGTAAATGTCCGTAAAAACACTACTTTGCGGGGAAACGTCGCTGGATCTTTCATTGACCAGGGGGTTCGTATCCCAATTTCCCTACTGGAAATGTCTTTGTATAGCCAATTTTTAAAACTTCCATCTTCCTTTGAATCCATTTCCCCCCAGTGCATCCCAGTGCAAGATACGATCAAAATACAAAGCATGTACAAAGCATGGGTGCAACGCCTTGGATCTTTTTTTGCCAGTAATGTGGTAAACCACAAAAAAAACACAACCCAAAATCACCATAGATTGGGTGGTATAAACCAACCCCAGATGGCAGTTGGAATTTTTTCCATATTTGATGTTCTGGGAATGGGATTGCTTAACCAAACATGCACCAGATGAAAGATGTCCTGCCAGGCTCGCGTCAGCAGCGTCGCGCTGCGGCGGCCGAAGCCGAACCAGAGCCCGTCTTTGACCCCAGCAAGGAGCCAGGTGCGAGTCAGCCGCTGGCGACCTTGAAAATCTTGGAAAAAACGTTCAATTCATACATGGCTGATATCATTCATGTATATATATATATATATTAATTAATTATATATATTTAATACTAACATTATGGATCGATGTTATTATATTATGATATACTGTCATATTACACTATGATATACTGGATTTGTATTGATTTGCTTCTTTGATGCACAGAGATTATACAATTATTGATGGTGCTGGTGCGTGACGTGTTACTTGATTTGAAAGAACCATATATGGCTCAGCGAGTTGTAAGTCCATTTTCAACGGGACGTCCATTTTCCACAGAACCATCCTCAATGTATCTCAATATGCATGCAAAGACTATCCGAGTGCAACTGTTCAGTGCCCAGGTGTCCTCCGTTGTGGACATAGCCTGTAGCGAAGATCTCTTTCATTGGAGTTCCCATCCACCCACCCAACCGGAGACCAGTTGGCTGAATCATATGATACAAACTTGTAAGCAGCATTTATCGCGGAGAAAGCTCAAGTACATAAAGAAACGCAACAATGGAAAGTTCCCCGCTTCCAAGCGGTGGTTCTCCAGTTGATATGTTGGAGTACCAGAAGCTAATATAAGCTAATGACGTATTCGCGATTATTCCATTCCTTTGGCTGGGTCATTCACCCACTGTAATGGGCCAGAAACAATTCCAAATAATTTGTGTTTTTCCAGTTGGTGCGTTATTTAGCAGAGGGTGCATCCAAAGATTCAGCTGTGCACTGTGCGACAGGTGTGACCCTGCCGCTGCGATACTTCGACCCTTTGGGCTTTGCAAAGCAGGGGGATCGTGAAGGTGTTTACAATTTGCACATGGGGAGGATGGTCATTGTGAGTGCAGGTTTGAAAACAGCTTTAAACGGTGGTAAGCTCGGCAATCCTGCGTATCTGATGCACAGTTGTACCATGAAAAGCCGTGTGAGTCTGGCTCTGAAACCAGCTTGAATTCGTTGGAACTCCAGAAATTCTGAGGTGGATCGACTATCAAAATAAGATATTATGATCATAACACCATTGGCCCCAGTCGTGGGCTCCAGGTATAGGACCTACCCCCAACACCCAAAGGGTAGAGGTCGCCATCCCAAAGTGCTAGGCTTTTACCAGCTGAGAGCAGCTGAGCTGAAGCATGGCCGCGTGGTGCGCGATCCCAGATGGCAGAGTGGTCGCCAAAAAAGATGGGTAATGAATGGATTTTGGGTGAATAACCCCACAAAAAAGATATAGTGTCTGAATTTGATTCACCATTTTTTGTGGCCTTGTCCTGGACCGATCCATGGAGAGTGAGTGCTTCGAGCTGCGATATCTAATTCGAAACCATTACCAACTAGTTAGAAACTTACAGAAACTTTAAACGTCCGTTTGACATGACACATGGACCAGAAATCGATGCCTCAGGCAATGATTGCGGCAGTGGGATGCGTAGTGCAGCACAACGTCAAGTTCCCAGGTGCGGGTTTTGGTATGTTGGAGCCTCTCATGACTTATAATGGAACCCATGGGTTTCAATCATACCCAATAATCAATAGGATAGCTTATTGAGGATGTATCCCTCTTTCAGGAAGCACCCAATTGCCCTTCTACAACGTAGGAAAAATATATGAAACAGCAAGATATATCATTTTGTTATTTGGTTGGCACCTTCAGTGGAATGTGTGCGTCCACAGATGGTCCCATTTTTGCGCAGCCGCAGAGGCTTTGAAGACGTACCTACTGGAATTCAGGCTGCGATCACACCTCCTGGTCCCTTGGAGTGGCAGAGATCTGACATAATGAATGGGTTGTTTCAGGGGCAAAGGTGAATTGATGCCACATATCATCATCATATTCCCATTGTTGTTGGTTTATAGCCTATTAACCACTATTAACCACTATTAACCGCTATTAACCACTATTAACCACTATTAATCACTATTAACCACTATTAACCACTATTAACCACTATTAACCTATGTGACATATGGATACTCTGACATGACTTGGGAGATTCACTCTGGTGAAGAGAAATGCAGTCGCTGATGAGTTTTTGTTTCACCATTTCACCGGTGCAGTGAGGACTTTCGCTTCTTTTTTCATTGACAAACGTGGTTTTTTGAAAGAATCGGTCTCGGGAAGTGAAGAATTATCCTCCTCATCCTGAGCCTCAGCCTTCAAAATCACCATCAGTCACAACTCAGAACCTTTCCGAGTTTGATCCTGAAGTCATGTCATCCTCAGTCTCTTTCAGCAAGGCACCTATGGCATGCTGGCAATTTTCGCTTTGAGTCTGAGCTGCAACTGGTGCTCAGCCTTCATTCTGTCCACATCTGGATCGCTAAGGTCAACAAAAACTCGTTGTGATAGTTGATGTTTTCAAATGTGATTTTTATGACGGTCTAGCAGGGTTTCCCCTTTTTTTCCGGGTGAAGTGGGATCAACTTTTGGCAGGGCTGGTGCGCTTGAGCTGACCATCTTCAAACAGGATCCAGACATGGACCCAGGACAGTAGTGGAAGAAGAGCACCAATTGAACATTAATTGAACTGAGATATATCATGATATATCGTGTTTTTTTCGGCGTAAACACAGCGATCGGCGTAACGGCGTATCGGCATATTTTACGCTTACGGACCCGGATCCCAATCACGCTGGTGTTTTTGGGGTTTGCACAATGTTGTATTGAGGTACTTTTTTTAAAGCTTTTTAGAAGGGCGTCTCCAGGTGAATCTGTCCCTATTTTGTTTATTGGTTTTTCATGGTTTTTCCATTTTTCATGTTTTTCCAGATCTCAAGGTGTTTATGTATTAATCATATGTATGGAGAGATTTCTTTACAAAGCAACCAGGTGACCAGGTGAACATCGAAAACAACCCCCGCGCAGGAGACTTTGGAGATCCAGCTGGCAACTTGTTTGGCTTGTTTGGAACGCCGCAGAATTGATTGTCACGGATTTTTGAAGGACAATGGAATATCATCAATTGGAATCCCAATTGGAATATCATTGGAATATCTCATTGGAATATCAATGTACAATCAGAATCCCATAAAAATCATCAATTGAAATATCATTGGAATAATCTAACGATAGTAACAAATACATCAAGTCCAATAATCCCATCCGATTACATAGATAGTAAACATCGATTGGTAAATATTCCATCATCCCAGGAACATGTTCCAGCGAGAAAGGCATCGATTTCCTATAGACATTTTCCCAAAATTCACCTATGACGAAACTGGAGATGTGGGAAACCAAGAATGAACCAACGGTCATACCTGCAGGAACGTTCACACCTGTTTTGCCGAATGACATGCCATGTTTCATCCGCACCAATTGTTCACCCCAACTGTGTCCAACTTCATTGGCAGACCACTTACCCAACACATGGAGACTCATGGAGATCAGCATCTTCTGTTTCCATGTTCGAAAAACTACAGGTTTCGAAAGGTGCCGATTTGTGCCACCTTTTTTTCCATTGATCGCGCGGATTCCTGGTGCCATGTTAGGCCTTTCCCCCCAAGACCACCTGATTTTCCATGGCAACGGATTCCCATTGCCATGGTTCCCAGCATTGGATCAAGCGGCAATGGTCGAAAAATCAACGAGGTGATCATTTGCTGAGCATATGTTCCCCTAAGATTAAGCCTTAAACCATTACTGGTTGGTGGTTTGGAACATGTTTTATTCCACATATATATATATATATATATATTGGGAATAATAAGCCCAACTGACTTTCATATTTTTCAGAGGGGTAGGTATACCACCAACCAGATTATAACATGTTATAACATGGGTTATAACCAGTTATAACCAATTATAACCATATATAAAGTTATAACCCATGATTATTACCCCTTATACCGTTACAACATGTTATAACCCATTGGAGTTTCAAAAAGCCAGGGGTTAAAAGCCCAGGCTTCGGGCAGTACTACACCGAGTGGAAGGATCGGGAGCTGAACAACTGCCGCAACTTGGGTCCAGGCTTAAGAAATCAAATATGCCCATAATTACTTAGAGAATCTTATAGATATCAAGGTTTGTTTACTACAATCATGTTTTTATATGTTTTTATTGAATTGCTACTGAATTACTGGTGTTTAATTGCATGTACGCATGGATGAGATAATGCTGTATGAGATGACGCACAAAGTTCGAGAATTTATGGACTATTTGATTCTTGATTCTTGCGCGAATGCTCTATGTTAAATGCCCCCAAAAGAACTTCTGGTGTAGGATTGGAGCTATTTGATGGCCAATGGGGACACCGGAGAATGGGTTGCAGCAAGGTGTTTGAAGTCCAAAAGCCAAAGCACTGGGAGAGCTTCAAAGTTAGACCAAGAAACACCTGTTAATAACAAACAATCAGCGAAGAAATGTGGATTTATCTCTGCAAGGGTGGATATGTTTGACAGATTTTCACATGTGGGTATGGATCAATACCTATTAATACCATTTTTAGTGGGATGAACATCCATTTACCAGCTATTTTGATGTTCACCAGGGGTACAAGGTTTTGACACACTGCCATGTCAAAAGTTGACCCCTATTGTGTTTGCTTTGTCATTTGGTGATATTTGGTGAACATTCAAGAACCCCCAGGATTAGCAATCGATGGCCTGTCCACCTGCCAGTGGCTTACATACTGTATACAATAGCTACGATGACGCACAGAATATTGAGGTGAATTCTAGGCTTAATGGGGGATAGAATCATCAACAGTATATCAACAGTTACAGTTAGTGGGTTTTATAAAGCAACTTACACTGGGCCTCACCTTGTCTTGCATGTTCATCGGCCCATTGCATTCAGCCCGAGGCATGGGCATGGTTTCCTTCCTGGGCATTGTCGTTGCAGAGTGCCTTTGCTGAAGGGGCTTCGCACAATGACATGGTGGTATATTGATTTTGGATATATATAATTGACACAGAATTGGTACTGGGCCAAGAGAATCCATGAGCCATGAGTCTACACTGAAGTTTGTTCAAAACTTATGTTTTTTAATACTGCATTTTCTGGCTGAAACTCAAAGCACATGGGGATTATGGTATCTGGATATTTTTGTGTCTCACACCTGGGAGGTTGCAATCTACTTCTTTGTTTGATGGGTTGAATGTTTGAGTCTTGCTGTCATTCTACATGATGATAATCATATAGCTCCCCAAAAAATGTTCCCAAACAAATATGAAACAATTCATGGTAAATTACGGTAAATTCATGTAAATTCCTTTCCTATTTGTTACGAACCTCTACCAGGGGTAACCAACCTGTTGGTAGTTGAAGGGTATATATATATATATATATATTCTAGTCTATTCCAGAAATTCCAATAAGTTCCAGGGGGCACTCCAGATTTGAACACATCAGTCGCAACCGGCAATGGCTTAATTTATCTTAATTTGTAGTGCTCAGATTCAAGTGTCAGCATACTTTTGAACAATTTTGATTCCAAGTTTATATTACAAAAAAAGAAAGTAAGCCCTGGGTGTCGACCAAGTCTTTTACCTTTGGACAGGGCACCAACTGAGGTTGGCTACTGGCAAGGATGGTGTAGAGCAGATTTGGACGCCCCTGGGAAACCTGACGGCGGAGTAGATGCCAGGCAAGTCATCGCCATGGTGAGTTTTACGTGTAGGCAGGAATGTGTTAGGACTAGGACCGACATAGGCAAAACAAATGTGTTTTCTTGTTCCCTATCTATCCTATGGAGTGGAGATTATATAAAGTAATGTATAATTTATATATATATATGTTTATAGTTATATATTCATACATCAAAGAATCAAAGATAAAAAACTATAGGTTATATAAGTTATATAAGTCAGTGCGCCCAAGTTATTTTGTCGACCGAACCAATCCCAGCGCCAACCGGCGCCAGGGGGAAGAACTTCGGTTTCTTGCATTTCTGCAGCGTGGCAAGCGGCACTTTTCGGGCGAGCTTTTCTCATCTCCCCCTTCACCCTGCGCACAACAAGAGCGGGGGACAAATCGAAAAGCGCTGCTTAAAGCGGGTCCAGGGTGGGTATGGGGTCATTACCAAGAAATCTTCCGTTTCGGATGATTTCGGATCACATTTTGGTCACCAGCGGGAAACAGTAATGTCCAACGAAAAGAACAGCAAAAGTGTTTTATATTCATTGGTCATATGCACGCTCGATTTGGAAGAATAATGTGATATTTGTTTGCCAGATATTCTCCATATTTTTTGTGATTTGCTAAGGATTATGTTAGCTAGCGTCACCACTTGTTAATCCGCCATAATTGGTGAATCTCCCAGGCAGTAAATATTGTCACTTGTTTGGGGCTTAAGCAAATCCGCCAAAACTTGACCTGTTTTCCTCCTGAAAAAGTCCGCTAGTCCAGGGCAGTCTCGGCTCAAGTCACCGGACGACCGTGACGCAGCATTGCCACTCCGTCACCATGGCCATGAAGTATTTGGGCGCGTATTTGATGGCTGTCCTGGGCGGCAAGGCGCGTAACAAAGGTATTGTTCAGTGCTTGACAATGCTTGACCTTGGCAGATTAAGGGATGGGCTATATGCTTTCATAATCTTTCACATGCTTTCATACTTACATGTGCATGATATTCACATCATATAACCTAATATCATACATATTAGCTTTATAGTTGATATGAATTATGCATATATTATATATGCTCTTTTATATGCAATGCGTAATACGACGTCTTCCGGACATCTTAATATACTAAGAATATTGGTCCGATGGCTGAGGTGCCGGCTGGGTTATGCGTTTTTTTTGTCGCAGGAAAGTCCCAGCCCAAGCGACATCAAGGCGATCTTGGAGGCGTGAGGGAAAGGGCGGCTGTGCATCTTTGGAAAAAAGCTGAAAATGCTCACAGAGAGAGAGAGAGAGAACCATGGTAACCATAGAATATTGATGAATATTGATGAATCTGAGATGTTTCCAGGTAAGAATCCAGAGATGGATTTCCAATTGAAGCTAGATGCATGCTCTTTGTCATCAGATATCGTCAGGAAACCTCTATATACTTTCACCCACTTTTAATACCCAGCTCGGACGGAGCAAGTGAGGGTATCTATTCATGGGAGTACCACGTGACTGTGGGGAGGATGATGCAACACCTGCCTCGCACAGGTTGCCAGTGTTTCAGAATTGCTTTGAGGGAGATTTGCAGGACACTTTTTCCTTTGGCTTTACCCCTGCTAAATTGAAGCATGCACACCCCCAAAAGAAAACAGTGCCCGAAGCCATCAGTTTTCCAAATCTTCCTAAGTAATTAACAGACATCAATAAACTGGTAGCAAATGCCAGTTTCGAGCTGAAAAACTCTTTGGTTTCTTACAGCGATCCATCCATCAGAAATGATCGCGGTCGACAGGCCGGTGGCATCAGCTATGAGGACGACATGCTGACAACGCTTTGTGAGAAGATGGAGGGCAAGCAGGCATTTGGGCGCGCAGGGTGCCCCCGGTGGTGAAACCGAAGTTGGTTTATAGGCTCAAATAACGACTATGATATGATGGATCTATCAAACTACTTCATGAGGGCTATAAACCAGCTCATAACACTTTATATCATCCTCTAATATGCACTCTAATAACTAAAGGGCAGCACTTTGTAGTGGCGCACGCGCAATTCCTACTTCAAACAAGAGGCCGTGACCATCCCATGCTGGGAAAATCAGGGCTTTTCCAGTGCCAGCTTTGATAAATGTTGATAACCGGAGAGTCTTCCCAATGGAATCACAATTCTGTTGGTCAAAGTCCCTTTGCAATAGTTGAATCATCATAGACTCATAGATCGCTAATAGATCATTATCATTTATTGGACGAAAGTTATATGGTAAACACATCACAATCTTTGTCCAGGCAGGTTGAGACCACCAAGAAGTTGATAAAAGACAGTGAAGTTCAACCCCTTTTATGATTAGCCATCTCGTAACATCTCGTAACCATCCAGCTTGACAGTATTGACCATGAGGATTAGTAGACGGCTCATTTACCATGCTTATGATTCTTAACCATGGGGATTAGCAGATGGCTATTGGTAACAATTATGTAATAGAGAATGAACCATCATGATCATCATGTATTATTGACCATTTCCTGTATTTTGTTTATAGTATTAGCCATTTATGAGTCACCACGGGAATCAGATATGAACAAAGATGGTTGATAAAAATGGTTAGTAATGGTTTCAACTATGTTAACTGACTATGGTTATATAATTAATAGATGATCACTGACCATGGTGTTTTCATAAGCCAAGAAATGGAGGTTTCCTAAAATGGGGGTACCCCTGAATCATCCATTTTATTTTTGGGATCCCCCATGTCACTGGAAACCACCAGCTACAGTATTGGCTATTTTAGATTACTTATTATGGAAACCGCCATGTCTAAGAAATTCCCCCATGATACACCCCATTTACGATATTTATGGATCCCCCATGACTGTGGAAAGCCCTATGATTAACCATCTACCATCTATGATTTACCACAACATTCACCACCCGGATTAGAGGTTGAATCAACCATAAGACCAGCTACTAACCATCTACTAAGCATCTATTAACCATCTATTAACCATCTATTAATTAACCATCTATTAACCATCTATGAACCATCTATGATTAACCAACCCAAAAATGCTTCACCACCAAGGCCCACGAGCTGATCACCAGCGGTTTCGGCAAGTTCGCCGCCTGCGGCGGCGGCGGTGGCGGCGGCGGCGGCGGCGGTGCTGGCGCCGCAGCCGGTGGCGGTGATGGTGGCGATGCTGGTGCCGTGAAGGAGGACGCCAGAAATGGCGGCTGTGAGACTGGGGATCCCGATAAACCCGATGGTTTGACATGGTTTAACACGGGAAAAAAGGTGATTTCAATTCATCCGCACAAAACTGGATTTTATATTGATTTTATATGATTTTATATGATTTGATCAGATACATTGGGTTTTTTGACCATCCATCATGTTTTTTTTTGACGAGTTCTGTTATTTTTGGATATTCTTGGATTAATAAAACGCATGGTTTGAATATGTTTGAATAGGGTTGTCCTTCTACCGGATTTGCAGATCATTTCAATGGGGTCCCGAGATATATCGACAATGATCCAATGGATTCTCATGGGTCCAAGGAGAAGAAGGTCGTGGAAGAAGAAGAGGAAGAGGACTGGCCATGGGGAAGGCTGAGGGTACCCCTGCGGTAAACTTGGCAATGGGACATGGCCCATTTAGTTTGATGATGAATGATGATGAAAAAATACCAGGATTTTCCTCATAAACATTTAGTTATTTTCCATAGCTATGTTAAATTACCAGAGTTACCAGAGGGTAAACATCAGCTGCAAATAGCTGCCTTTCTTCTTCTGCTGAGTTCGATTGTTCGTGAGCGGACTGGTGAACTGTAGCTTGTGCCATAAATGGATGCACAAGGAAGAATTTTAATTGGAACGTGCTGCTAAAGATAAGAATTAGCATTGTTGGTGTAGGGTCTTTGAAGTTTAGCGATGTAATTACTGTAATGGTGGGTTCTTCCAGGTTTCGGAGAATCATGGAGGAGAATTGGGTTTTTCACTGCCCCCTTGTTGTTTGAGGGGAGTGAAAGGGCAGGCCAGAAGGTTCGAGGTATATCCCATATTATACCCTCAAAGCATCAAAAAGCTACTGGCCAGACATGGCTTTGAAGGTTCCTTAACTCGCAAAGCAGAGCGGAACATGTTTTCTATGGTTTCAAAGATGTGTTAGTGAGTGTTTATCCCATTGGGTTATCATCCCCAGTGACACTGACAATCACTAACACATATTTGTGGTATGGCACTAATTCCCCAGAAGCGATTATTGTTCACCGTTTTACCACATTTTGACCAGCTAAGAGGATATGGAGTTCGACCTCTTCGGCTGAGAGCATTCGAGACAGTGCCTTTCATATTATGCATGTTTCGGTGATCGTTATGGGTAGTTTAATGAATTGGGTTTGGAAGATTTTTTTCTTGTGGATGTTGCATGATATTGTAATTTTTGGGTGGCTTGTGAAGCCTAAGAATGTGCAACCCAGGAACTCGAAAAGTTCCCCCCTAGGCTCTAGATAGCAAAGTTGGTTTGATAACTACGGTATATATATATATATACGTATATTTGTGGGTGTTTATATACCAACTTGTCAAACATATATATATATATATTATATCCATATACACACATATTTATAATCTATCTATCTATATATATATGTATACTGGTTGGTGGTTTGGAACATTGCTTTTATTTTCCATTCAGTTGGGAATGTCATCATCCCAATTGACGAACTGCGATCCGCCGAGGTGAGCCCATTACACCGGTGCTTCAACGTGCCGTGCCAAACTGCGCTGCGGAATTTTGCCCAAAAAAAAGACATTGGGAGATCCTGCAGCGTTCAGACTATTGGTTTGATATATAACATGGTATATAAACACCCAAAATATATATATATATATATATACATATAGGTATATGTGATATGTATATATATATATATAACCTCTATAAATAAAAGATATGGTGTTGGCCTTGTTTCTCAGAAAAAGCATTGATTCGGAGAACTGGATTAAGGGAACATGTACAGGAGTTTCTCATTGTGAATGGTCAAAATACAAAGGTTTCCTGCAACATGTTCCTTCAACCAACTGATTGAATGGTCCCTTCACGCAGATGGAAGATTGCCACGCCCAGTCAGTTTCGTGCGATAGATACATGGAGATACATGGAGTTGTACGCCCGTTCAATTCGGAAGTCACGAGGTGGGAGTGTTTTGAAGACTTGCTGTGAAGCGGTGCGTGTTCCACTGTTCTATTGATGATATTGATGCATCTATAACATTCTATAACCATAATATAGAACACGGGAATAAGGGTTTATGTAGATGGTTCTAAACTTGCCAAATCTAGACTATAGATCTATGCTCTTTGGCAATTTTTGAAGCTGCACCTTGGCGGGCTCCCAGCCAACACTGGTTGCCACAAACCTGCCATGACTGGGGATGGTGTATAGCACCCATAGTGATTTTGGGGCTGGTTTTTTGGATGTTTATTGTTGGGTTTACCACAGACATCAACAGACCATTTCTGAGAAATACGCGGAAGTTGATTTGCTGAAGAGAGATCAAACCATATCACAAACCACAAATAGGTTCCTTCAACGCATCCTTTGTTCTTAAATTCCGTCGCATTCTCGCGCCATGACGACAGAAGATTTGAGTCGAGAAAACCTCAGTGGGAACCAACTTCTAAAAGCCAACTCTGGCAAGGCGTGCGGATGGGATGAGGGTTGGGCCATGCATGGGACGCATACTGCAAGCAGAGATATTAATTTTGGTGATAGTAGGGATGCCTGAATTGAATCGTTTGCACACACGCGCAGAAGTTTTATTTTCATATGATTTCTATATTCCAATAAACTATCTATGCTGAAAGAGCTATGAGTTGGGGACTTCCCGAGCAGCATGTACTGGGAGCACGTTTTGCAGTTTCCATGTGAAACTTTGTCAGTATAGCATAGTATAGCACCTATCAGGCACTTGATGGCACTGGGCAGAGGGGAAAACAGTCAAGGAGATCACACAGATTGCTGTGGCCATTTTTTTAGTTATATATATATAGTCTCTATATGTATTGATTAATCCTGCAGTGCTTGTTCACGAGCAACTGAACATATCATTAAGTTGTGCACCTTTGAAGAGTCAATCATAATCCATTGGCTTATCGGGGTGTTCAGTGGCCCGTATATTTGATGTTACATACGGACCGTAGGAGGCAATGGCCCCGCAGATGCCAGGAGGTTCGCAAGAGAGCGAAGGACAGAGACTTTAGGGGTCCAGGTTATTTTGGACATTGTGACTGCTGGAAGAACATGGGTGCATCAGCTAGTCATATCCTGCTATTTATCAAGTAAGCCATTCTTGAGACTAAGAGATTCTCACCGCGAAAATGTACGCCCAGATGCTCCAGGTTCACTTCACTTGCGCTATGGCGGCTGTAGTTTGATGTTTGCACGGAGGGAACTTGTAAGCTGCTGCTTCTCAAAAAAAATCCTTCAAGTTCGGGTGGAAATTAATCGCCCATGTTTCGATTCCAGGGATGTACATCCCTGATCTTTCATGCTTTGCAGCCAGTTTGACCCCATTCTTTTCAGAGATTTCTGCAGGGGGTCAGAGTTCCAGCCGTCAGGAGGACTTGGCGTCGCAGGCGAAGAACTCTTCGGGAAGCTTTTTTGGGGAGGAGGATCCTTGGCTGCTCCATGCGGCCATAGGATCTGGATGATTTCGATCAGAATGAGTGAAAATGGATGAACATGGGAAAGTGGATGGAATGCTGTTGTGAAATCGGATTTGGATGGAATTTGGATGGAATTTGAACGTTGGAACATGTGTGTGCGTGTGTGTGTTTGAAGAATTGGGACCAGTCATATACGGTCATATAATTACGCGCTGTAGCGGTGAGTATCCAGACCGGCCCCTGTGATGATGCCTGTATGGACCAAGTTGGGGGTGTTTGATTTTTCGCAAAGGATTCAAAGACATGAAAATAAAGAAGCATGGGCCGCCTATAGAGCTGCGACCTGTTCCGATGCAAAAGCACTCCCAAAGAATCAAAACGGAAAAGCACTCAATCTTCAATCAGAAGTACTGATGGATGGAACCACAGATTCTATTTTTGTCAAATTTGGTGATCCATGATTTCCAGCCACACACGTGTATGAATATGCCCGTAATGCTTGAAAGATCCTGAAACAGTGACGTTTTTGGTCACTGGATTCGAGGACGATGGCAACGGCTTAGTGTTTCCATCTTTTGCCACTTGGCAGAAGTCCTCCCCGTGGCTAGCCGCTTGTGGAAAACAAAGATTGCCAAAAATGGCAAATCCTATGTGGATGATTTCATAATATTTCATACCTAATGTCAACATCGTATTAATAAACCCCCCCCTCCCCCCCAAACATTAAGAGCATCAGAATAAAGTTAGGGCCAAACATTCAACTATCGTAAAAATCACCTATGTATTCCCAAATGAATTGCCTAATTGAAAACGAATACATAAGGGAACTTTCCAAAAAAAATAAAATCATCATAAATCATCTATCTATTCCCAAATGAATTGCCTAATTGAAAACGAATACATAAGGGAACTTTCCCCCCCAAAAAAAACACGTATGTATTCCCAAATGAATTGCCTAATTGAAAACGATTACATAAAAGGAACTTTCCAAAAAAAACGCCTATGTATTCCCAAATGAATTGCCTAATTGAAAACGATTACATAAAGGGAACTTTCCAAAAAAACAAAAAATCACCTATGTATTCCCAAATGAATTGCCTAATTGAAAACGAATACATACAGTGAACTTTCTTGGAACTTTTAGTATTCACAAATGAATTGCCTAATTGAAAACGAATACATAAAGTGAACTTTCTTGGAACTTTAGTATTCACAAATGAATTGCCTAATTGAAAACGAATGCATAAAGTGAACTTTCTTGGAACTTTAGTATTCACAAATGAATTGCCTAATTGAAAACGCATACATAAAGTGAACTTTCTTGAAAGGGTTTAGTAAGGAAAGGGTTTAGTAAGGAAATCGACCATTTGAGCCTTGTTGATTTTTTTGCACTCCAGAACTTTTCAGGCAAGATTTGGAGTTTGGAGTTTACTGCTTCCAGCTCAAAGAGTCTTGAGGGCTTCAGAAAGGGTTTGAGAAAGGGTTCAACTAGGAAAGGAATTGAGAAACAAATTTAATTAACCACCAAAATTTTAGAACCCTGAAATCCAAATACTTTATTTAGGGGTGTGCAAACATACATTATTATTTTGATGTCAGGGGACTTCAAGGCTACCCCCTTTGCGCGATTGTTTTTTGGCATTTTTTGAAAGGGTTTAGTAAGGAAATCGACCATTTGAGCCTTGTTGATTTTTTTGCACTCCAGAACTTTTCAGGCAAGATTTGGAGTTTGGAGTTTACTGCTTCCAGCTCAAAGAGTCTTGAGGGCTTCAGAAAGGGTTTGAGAAAGGGTTCAACTAGGAAAGGAATTGAGAAACAAATTTAATTAACCACCAAAATTTTAGAACGCTGAAATCCAAATACTTTATTTAGGGGTGTGCAAACATACATTATTATTTTGATGTCATGGGGACTTCAAGGCTACCCCCTTTGCGCGATTGTTTTTTGGCATTTTTTGAAAGGGTTTAGTAAGGAAATCGACCATTTGAGCCTTGTTGATTTTTTTGCACTCCAGAACTTTTCAGGCAAGATTTGGAGTTTGGAGTTTACTGCTTCCAGCTCAAAGAGTCTTGCGGGCTTCAGAAAGGTTTGAGAAAGGGTTCAACTAGGAAAGGAATTGAGAAACAAATTTAATTAACCACCAAAATTTTAGAACCCTGAAATCCAAATACTTTATTTAGGGGTGTGCAAACATACATTATTATTTTGATGTCAGGGGACTTCAAGGCTACCCCCTTTGCGCGATTGTTTTTTGGCATTTTTTGAAAGGGTTTAGTAAGGAAATCGACCATTTGAGCCTTGTTGATTTTTTTGCACTCCAGAACTTTTCCAAAAAAACACATCACCTATGTATTCCCAAATGAATTCCCTAATTGAAAACGAATACATAAGGGAACTTTCCCTCCAAAAAAAAAATAACCTATGTATTCCCAAATGAATCGCCTAATTGAAAACGAATACATAAGGGAACTTTCCCTCAAAAAAAAAAACACCTATGTATTCCCAAATGAATTGCCTAATTAAAAACGAATACTAAAGGGAAAAAACGGAAAAAAACGGGGAAAAAAAAGTTGGCGTACTTTATTGCGGGGGGGTTTTATTATTGTGAACCGGGAGTTGGCGTACTTTATTGCGGGGGGGGTTATTAACGCCATGTGAACATTACTGGTCCTAATGAACCATAGTTTTGTTCATTTTGTTTCCAGTTCCTATACTTTACCGGAGGGATCTCAACCGTTATCCACACGTTCTCCCTGACGAATATGGACGATTTTCCGGTTGTGCCCCGTGGACTTCCATGCACATGTTTTGGTTGTTGGTGGTTTTGGATCCATGCTATTTCATTCACACACACACACCTGGTTGGTGGTTTGGAACATTTTTTATTGTCCATCATATATGGGATAACCCTTCCCATTGACTAATATTTTCAAGATGGTTAAAACCACCAACCAGACACATATGTATTGTAGTCCAGTGGGGGCAAGACTTAAATTGCAGCACGTGCAGTTGTTGCCTCGGCAAGACTCATCAGTGCCATGTCCACGTGGTTCTTGTGATGCGTCCAAAGGGTGAAAGCTAGTTGGGAACCACAGATTGGCCGGTCATTTTGGTTAAATTAATTGATAAATTTTAAAACATGTTTAATTGCTCCCAGCAAGTGGTTCATGTTTGCTTTGTCACCACATTGCGCTCATCATTTTTCAGAGAAATCCCCGGATTTCACATCAATTGCATGAGACACATTAAAGACATTGAGAAACCGTGGGATGATATATCTTGAAAAAATGCAATCTGTTTCATTTACAATGGGGTAAACCCGCCAATGTTGCTGACCCACTTCCTGCACACTGGAATCCACATGGAAGAATCGCTACTTCTGAGGATGTTTTCCCAGAAGAACTGCGGATTGGTCCTTGGCCTCTTGGCCGACGGTAAAATTTCGATGTTTCATTTTCAGGAGAAGGGGAGGGTAAATCCAGACAAGCACAACTTACTGTAGAAGAACAATTAGTGAATGAATCTGTCATTATTTAGATTGTATATAATATAGAAATAATAATATATATATATATGTATATATACATCAGATACAATACGCGTCAGCACCACCCTGTGGAGCCCGCAACATTGTACCAGCAGTGCCAGTACTCACGGGTCCCTTTGTTGGTCGGCACTGGTGCCCCAGTTGTGGCCGCGACAACCTCGATACGATTCTATCTGAATGCATCACAATCAGAATGCATCCAGAGTTGTTTTGGTCTTGGACAAAATCTATCAAAACCTTTATTTGACTCAGGCGACGTTGTCAATATTGTCCATGCTGTCCATTTGCATGTTTCATCCCTCCACCAGGTCTCTTGCGGCCAAAGTTTTCTTGACCGCTTTGGTGCTGCTGGTGATCTTTTCCGTTCCCATGCTGGAGATGCCAAAGATTCAGTCGACGGAGCACAAGCCTTTGCAGCCCGGTGGGCGCTTTAAACTGTACAAACCAGCCTTCTGGGGATGGTTGGATGCGGTTGGTATACCGTATCAATCTCCACCCCGGAGAAATGTTGGCGCCCCTGGTTGCTCTAAATTGGTAGCATTGTCACAGCAGACTGTAATAGACTTTGAATATCTCTTTAAGTCACTCTCTGGGGTTGCGCGCCCAATGATCAGCACGAGATTGTTGTTATCATCCCAGGCATTCCGCTGGAAATGGACAATGACCAGCCATTTTGGGATTCAGCCCATGACATTGAAGGTATGCGGCTGTGTCCATCTACATGCTGCTGGTCCAAGCTCACACAGTGCACAAGTACAAAGGTTGGCCCTTGGTCACCTACACCTGCAGCTGGGCCAAGACCCTGATTTTTGGGATCAGGGATCGCCAGGGCGCCGGGGGGTCCTGAAACTCCGGAAAGTACCGTATATAAATCTGTACGATTCAATTCGACGTCACGACGTCACCCCCGAATTAACGAGGCAGAATTTTGAAATTAAGGGGATATGTACATAAGTACCTAGCCCTCTGCCTGTACCCGATCCCGCTTGCTCGCGAAGCGCATTGTTGACAACGAGCTCTTGGTTGGGTGAGAGAGAGGGGAGAGACGAAAAGGATGTTGGAAGAAGAGTCGAAAATAAATGTATACAATTATATGATAATATTACATGTAAATTACTGTGTATACATATGTATGCACGCGGAGAGAGTATATATATATAGTATAATCTGTTTGTCAATTTTCCCATCAGTGGATTTCCTTGCTTTTCAGGGGTTCATTTCAGCATGTTTCGCCAGTATCTTTTCCATTCAAGTTGCCAGCCCCAACTGAGGCGTGTCCTACTTTCTGTTGAACCTACATTTTCTCTTTCATGCCCTGAACTTGCCCTCAGCAGCTGAAGTCTTGCGCTTTTCATCCCTGGCTATGGCGACAGTGACAACCACAGCAGCTGGGATGAGACCAGCCGGGGCTTTCCGGGCTGAAGTATGAGTCCTGGACAGTCAGGTTGTTGGGGTTCTCATGACCAGGGTCACTAAGTGTCATTAGGTTTGCTTTCAGAAGCTGAGAGGGGTCCATGCCCATCCCTTTTATACAGATGTCGCAGGAATCCCACCCAATCTAATCCAGTGTCATCTTATCTAATCTCATCTTATCTCATCTCATTTATCGTACCTATCTACATCATTTTATCTTATTGCATCGTATCTTGTCTTATCTTGTCTTATCTTGTCGTGTCTTATTTTTGTCTTATTGTTTCGATCTATCATATCTATATCTTCTCTTATCCGATTATATCTTATCTTATTCTATCTGATCCTATCCCATCAAATTATATCCTGTCCTAAGTATACATTTATATTTCAATTAAACCCATATATTTCCATAGGTTTATGCTATGTATATTGGGACCTTGGAACGACCTCACCAGGCAATTTATACTGTAGTCCAGAAAAACACCCCAACATTGTGAAACTTGATTTGCGGAGCCCAAAAGAAATGCCTGGACATCTCCGCAGTATTGGAAGTTTTGGCAGATGCATAGTAAATGTTAGTCATTGCGCTTGTTCAGACTTGTTCCACAACCATGGCCTGACACAGCATCATAGGCTGTCAGGCTCAATCTGGCGCGTGCTGTGTGTGTGTGTACCATCTGAACAGATGTAAAACTTCTGATTGGTTTTCACTAATTTGCAGGGGGCACCTGGAGCATGGATAGGTCAGGTGCCAACGAAGACACCTATCCAATGCTTGTGATATCACGGCTGATCACCGTGACGTACCTGCCAATTTACTGAAATGGGAAGAGGCTCAACCCAAGAACCTCCACGTCGTCCATTTGAAATTTCAATTTACTGCACTGTTGACGCAATCTGGAATCAATTTTGACATTTACATGCATCAGAACCTTCCTCAGATTTTCGCCGAAACCATATCGCCGACAGTATTATGTTTTTTGACTTATTTTCGCCGAGATCCTGTCGCCGACGAACTATGGGTTATTTTGGGAAACAATCGCCGAAATATTATTTTGGATTTCAACATGCTGGTCAAAACTCTATGGAATCTGGTTATGACTACGTTTGACAATTTCGGATGCCCTACATCGTTTGCGAGAAGTACCTCATGTGGCTCTTTTATTCATCTAATAATCTAGGCTGGTTTGCATGTTTCAGGATTCAGTTCCTGCCGGATCATATAATGATCCATTCTTGTCTAGTGTGATTTCCATGGTGGCTCCGACATGGTGCCATGGAGCCATTGGAGGCAACCCTCTTCAGGGTGAGTGTTGACAGACTTGAATTCTGAATTTACACGTTTCAACTCAGTAATTCATTTAAGTAAAGTGCAACAGCCAGCCTTTCGGTTATTCGCCTTTTGTGATGTCCCGCCGCTCCTATTGTCCCAGGGACCCCAGTGCTGCGTTCTTTCAAGGGAAGCCATTCCGAATGTTCTGAAACCTCCGTTTTTTGCAGCTGCTTTGCAACACCGTTGCATCAAATCATGACAGAGAAATCAGGCAGGCACACGACTTTCAGGTGTGGTGATCCTTTCTTTTGATGGTTGTCTGGTGAGGTGAAACATATTGTGCACCTAATTCGTTGGAACTTGCAAGCTGTTTTATGCCATTGCGGCACGACTTGACCACGGTCCCGGTGCAGGGAATAATTGCACGATTTTGTAGGTAGTTAGGGACTGAATCCTGTATGTGAAACTTTTTACAATTGTCCACTTTTGTTTTGACCTACTGAAGCGATGCATCCGTGGAACACTCCAACATCATGGCCTGCTCCACCACAGCCTTCGAACCCATCTTCGACGTGGCCGCAATCGACACCGAGTGCACATTTATTTGGACATCCCTCGGCTTTGCATCCTACATGGTCATCCTCCGCTTCGCTCATGCCGTCTACATCCGCCCCAACATCGTTGCCGTTCACCTCATTGACTTCGGCTCCTCATGCAGTACCAGGTCCACAACTTGTACCCACCATGCCTTCACCTTTGGCTCCTGAACCAACTATGGTACACACCGCTCCGTCGACTTTTCCATCTCCTATGGCACCTACCGCTCCACCCGCGTGGCCTTCCACTTCGGCTCCATCCCCTACATCGACTACACCACCTACATCGACTATGACACCAACTCCTTTGCCCAGTTCTCCATACCCACCTCACCACATTCAACCTCCATTACAGATGGACGCATCGACGATCCCTCCAAATGAGCCTTCACCACGGCCCCCAGCAGTCAAAGCAGCTCCCAGGCATCGCTCTGACAAAAGACCGGATCGACCGCGCAGACCAGCTCCGAAAACCCCTCCTCACGCTACACCATCGACACCTCAGACAGCACCGACTTCATCCGTTCCACCTGAACTTGCATCCCTGGGTTCCACCGCACAACAACTGGCCGAATCTGTTCGACTTATCCAAGCTCAGCAACTATTACTCATGGATTCTCAACGGGCACAAGAACAACGTCAACTCCTTCTTCAACAAGATGAACATCCACCGAATCCTACACCACAGATACCGCCACCTACACCTACACCACCACTGATCGCCACGCCTCCACCTGCACCAAAGGCCAGACCCACCGAACCGGACGTTCAGGACCATCGCATTGTCCCAGCTCCAACCATCGCTCCTCCTCACCAACCACACGGTCCACCACCACCAACACGCCGACCACGATCCCGAACTCCAAGATCACGTTCCCATCGACCTTCTGTACATTCCTATCGCCTTCGCCATTCTCCTCCACGTACAGAGCGACCTCGTTCTCCTCTCCCTCGTCATCGATCATCTACGAAACCCGACAAGAGCCGCAGAACACCATCTCCATACAGACGACGCTCACCACCACGACGCCGCTCTCCTGTGGTCCCTCGACGTCACCGCTCCCATCCACGCCCACGCTCCGCGACACCACGTCACCGATCCCGAGGCCGTGAAGTCATACTTCGACCTGCTGCAAACCCATCCAATCCGAACTACATTCCTACTCCTGATGCTGATGACACCTGGGGTACATGGAACGAAAGCCACTACAACGACGCCTACGACCACCACACTGCTCGACCCAATTCTCCTACTGATCCACCACCATCGGAACCACAAACCAACCCACCAACCCACACTTCAGCACCACTCGGCGCGGTGTCCTTCCGAGTTCCGGACGGCGACAGTGAAAATTCTGAGGTTGCTGATACCATTTCGCTCACCAAGTTTGACACGAATGACATCGACCTCGATGAAATGGTGGCGGCGGCCAATGACCCCCATAGAGTTCGATGCCTGACCGGGCTTGGCCCCGATCATGTTGTTCCTCTACGCCAATCATTGACCCCGGCTATCTTGCAGCTCTTCAACCAGTTTGTGGACGCGATGTTCGAACAGTTGGCTAAACCATACCGCACCGTCAACAACCATCGTATTTGGATCAAAGCCAGCCAAGCCACCGTCAGGAATATTGCCAGGGCCTTTGCACAATCCGACTTACTGGACATCGAACTTGCAAAGCAAACACAAGCCTTCTATATTGAACCAGAGAACTTGCTGACCATCACGGTTCCCACAGGATTGAAGAAGAAACCAATCTACCGTGGCGAACACATGGGCACCTACCTGATCTACCACAAGACAAGTTGGGAATCAGTTGCCAAAATTCTTGCTGAAGACTGCATCCGCCCGGCAACTTGGACAAAAAACGAAGCCGGTATACCGACCCAATACCCGTGTTACGGGTTCTTCGGAATGTCCTCTGAGATCGCAGACACCGACAACCTACCCGGCTATGCTGTCAGGATTTGTACCTCTCAGCTTTACAAAATAGGCAAAGGACAAAACCCATCAGGCCTGCTGGCCATATGCCGCTCACCCAAATGCATCCGTGCCCTAGCTGGAGGAAATGACCAAATCCAACGCTTGTGCAACCTTGCGGGCATCGCCAAGGGCAAAGACAATGCAACGGCTATGAACTCAAGCGCTGCATCTATATGCTACGTCGCCTCCACTCACCAGGTTTTCCCGGGCTTGATCACACACCAGACTGCGGAGACCAATGCACCTTCGGAACCTCCTGATGATTCTGCACGTCCAGTACGACCTGACCCTTCTGCCGACGCCCCAGAACCTTCGGAGCCGGCCCCGGACGACTCTCACAATACACCGAGCCGCCGCGAGACTGCTACCTCTGGCTCCCGGGACTATGCTCGCCGATCTTGGCATGACAATGCTGCTTGGGACAATTCCACCTACAGCCGCCGAGATCGCCGATCCTCATATTATGACGACCATTCTCGCGACCAGCACCATGAAGGCCGACCTCGTTCTCGACATTCGACCCACCACTCCAAATCTCGTTGGTGAATTCTTTACCCTTGAGGAGTACCAGAACAAGTATCGACTATTCTACGTCGGCGATCCAGTGAGCCTAGTGGCCCTGCCCGATTATTTTGGAGTAACAATGCTTCTCCCGACATTCGGTACTGCTGCCACTTCTTCCTCAAAAGGTTTGTGACTCGCTGCATGCTCATATTGTGGATCCTTGCGCAAGATTCGTTTTCACCTTATGTTTCACACACTGGAACCTCGTATTATGTTTCACTTTTTCACTCGCACACTATCCTTGTCTCACCCTGACATTTCTCGCAGCTTTCATTCGGCAGTTCGAGCGCATTTTGACCTATTGTCTCGTGACCCTCTCTACCTCATGGCGTCCCAGGACCTGATCTCCCAATACAGCGCGGATATGAATGGAATTCCTCCTTCCCAGCCGGATCGCTCGCGCACACCACCTCGTCATCCACATGGTTGGCACCAAGCAGTACCGGCGTTCCGTGGCCCGATGCACTATGCCATGACGACCCATCGACCCTTTTGGAACCCATCCGGAATACCGCCTCCACCGCCTACGTCTCCATCGTTCCCAACACGCCCAC